ACTCACTGCTCGTCTGCCACCGCTTTTTTGGCGGCTTTGATCTTCTTGACCGTAGGCGCCATAATCCGCTTCTGTTGCGCACCAAGAGACTTCCTCAATGCTACCCTAAATTCTTGATGCTTCTGTTCGTTGGACATTGCGCTAGATGAATGACGATAAGAACTTTGAAGGACGTCGAAATGATCCTCGCTGAACTTTATGATATCGACTACAGCATCGACTTTGCCTTGTGCTAAACCAATAGCTTCCATCCATGGGAATGCGTCCCGGTAGAGTTGCTCAGCTCCATACTTGGACGCTCGATACCAACCGATGCTCGCATCAATATGGAAGGCGGTGATATTGGTAGCCCAGACCAGGGCCGCGAAACCTAGATATTGGAGTACGAGGTCAGCATGTATCCCACATGCAGTGGACACGAGAAAAGTACTAACAGGAGTGATTGTATCCTTTCATTGCACGACCATAAAGCCAACCTCGAATGCGGAGAGTCTTAAGATGTTTGGCGCCTCTAGGACCAAGGTTGATCAAGAAGCTGTACAAGGCGAAGCTGTTGGTGAAGACGAATTCGTTCTTGCCGTACAGAATATCGATACACTCTTGGTGGATTTGCTTGCTCACAGCAAGGAGCGACGGGACAAGAGCGGCCGGTTGTTCGTGTTGACTTCTAATATTGTCGTTTATAGGAAGTGCGCCTGACCAAGGTCCGTCGTGTGATATGCTCGCCTGGCACTTGGCTGAGATGCGTTCGACAGTACGGCGCTTGTGCTTGAACGTGCCGACAAGGTTGATACCAGCAGGATCGGTAAGAGTGTACTCATAGATTATGTTCCTGATCTCTGCAGGAAGCTCCATGAAGGGGAAGATTTTGCGTTTGGGAAGTGGTCTGGAGCTTGCCTTGGTTGTTCGCTTCTGATGGACGCTCGTCAGTCTTCCCACTTCCCGTCCACACAGAAGTACATCGAACCTTTGCCTGTGGTGTATCAAAGTCGGATTCGGATTCTGAATAGTCTAGATCATCGAGATGGTATGTGACCTGGGTTCTCTTGCGCTTCGAGTAGCGTCCAGACGCAAATGTCTCTACTGGGGCGTTGATATCGGTCATTGTGGATCGTTCTTAAGTCAATTGCACTTGAGTCGGAATTTTGAAGTTTTGGAAGGGAACAGAACGCGTATGGTAGTAATGAGACACGACAAGACGCGTGTTTGGCCTTCTTTAATAGATCTCAGCGATGAATGTCGCGTGGTCAGCTGTTGTACGCTTTGGGATTAGCTTAGGCAACGATACGGCGAAGCCAGGGTTAGCAAGGCATCAACCTGACGGCGTCGATATCTTCAACAGATTTTGAGCATGATTCGTGGGCAGCTTATCAAATTCGTATGCGCCCGAAACCATGACGATGTGTGGAATGCAGCGTTGAGCGTTTAGGAGAGAAAGTGCAAGTTGAGAATGTCCCAAGGTTGCGTCACCGGGCTTAGTCATTGGGCCCACTAACCGAAACGAGAGGCGGGCAAATTATCGCACACCATCCTCAGCAACATGTCTTCGATAAAATCGCTTACGTCTTTCAAGCTTGACCTGCCTCCTAGTTGTATTGAGTTCTTCCCGCTAAATCCTCAATATGCGATAGTCGGCACGTACAACCTCGAAAAAGAGGATGAGAAGGAATCTGCGGGTAGTGCTCCGCACGATGGAAAAGTGAGCGCCAAAAATCAGCAGCGTAATGGCAGTCTGATATTGGTACAAGTTGATGGTGACATCGTGTACGTGAGACAGCCTGCAAGTTCAATGTAGCAGCTTGGACGCGGTCAAACTCGGTACTGACGTCGAGCAGTAACATCATCCAAACCCTATCTACGCCATCAGCTATCCTGGACATCCATTTCTTGACACATGTTACTAGCTCCAACTTTGGTGTTGCGACATCCACGGGGGCTTTTGCCATCTATGAGCTCCAGTCATGGCAGCGAGACCCCAAGATCGCCCACATCAAGACCATCCAGTACTTTCCAGAAAATATTCTCATCACCGCTTTTACCTGGCACCCGGAATCCTTCATGGTCGGTATGACGCTTTCGAATGGGCAGGTGTGTCTCGGCGTAATAGATACGGAAGACGAATCTGATGCGCCGACGAAGATGGAGGTCGCTTCACATGACCTGGAAGCCTGGACTCTCGCTTTCCTACCGGATGGCTCGGGCCTGCTGTCTGGCGGAGACGACAGCGCCCTTCGTTTTGCTGAGCTGTCGGACGGCTCTGGAGGAAGCGTACCTTGGATGGATGGGAAGATACATGATGCTGGCGTCACTGCTATCCTCCCAGTGCATCTTGATAGTGAGGGTGGCTTGATAGTGACCGGCAGCTACGATGATCATATCCGGCTTCTTCATGTACCCATCTCTGGCCGTCGTCAGGTTCTTGTGGAAGCCAATCTCGGTGGTGGCGTATGGCGGCTAAAGCTGTTGGACCGAAACCCCAAGCTGCCAGCGCATCACGGCGTAGAGAAGTGGAGATCAGAGCCACCGCCAGAAGCTATCCTACTGCTTGTCAGTTGTATGCATGCTGGCACCAGGATTGTAAGGCTTACCAAGAGCGCTTCCAAGGATTGGCAAATTGAAGTGCTGGCCAAGTTCGAGGAGCATGAGAGCATGAACTACGGTAGCGACTCTCAACCAGATCTCAACAGTCAAGGCCAACGGACGTTCATATCTACGAGCTTCTATGATCGGCTACTGTGTCTTTGGAGATATTAGTCGCCCGCAACAGGTAGTCAGACTCCAAGGATAAGTAAACACACCAAAGATTACGCGTGGAACAAGCTGACTATATTTGGGATGATATATTTATTAAGAAGTAGCATACAAGTCGAAGAACATTGCCTAAAAGAAACCTGACTAGTAGAATCCATGCGAACAGGAAACCTATGCCTGACAACCCTCGCTGCTAAAACTCAATTCGGCCCACAACCCTGAACAGGTACGTAGTTGTTGTACGGACTATTGTCCGCGTAGGCAGGCATGTCGTGGGACTTGTCGTCGTGAAGCTTATGCTGGAAGCCGTCGTTGAAGCTAGGGGCAGCGATATCGTTGTCGAACGAGGACTTGACGCTATCACTGACGGAAGCGCTTAAGGCAGGGTGGTCAGGAAGGTGACACAAAGAGGGTGATACCATCCTGACGGTATCAAGCTGCTACGGAGGAGTGACGGGTAGACCGACAGCAGAATCGGAACTCGGTGTACGACTTGGCCGGAGAGTCGAAGTAGGATTTACCTGGGGGTCTCCATCTGGCGCCCCGAAGAAACACTTTTGAGACGGATCAAATTGATCCGTCTCAACGGCTTCCCAGACGGTCTTTTTTTTGGTGTTCATAGCGACGCGTATCTGCTTACGCTGGTACACTACCACACCATTCATCGCTACCTTGTTAAAGCCAATTTCCAAAGGCTCCACCAAGATATATTTGAACTCATCGAAGAAATATTCCCTCTCCTCGTTAAACTGCGTTCCAGGGAGCCCAGAGACTACCACTGGCATCCAAAGGTAGCCAGGTTCCAGCTTCTCCTGGAGATCAGGCGAATCTTCACGCATGGAACCAGTATCGATTTGGACGATCTTCAGCAAGTCTCCACGAAGGTTGCGGTAGACCCCAACAGGGGGCTGGTTTGGCCAAAAATCCCAGATCAGGTTTGAGTAGGCCTCGTCCTTCTTCTTGCGAATTTGAAGCTCACGTTGTGCAGCCATAGATTCTCCATGTTGTCTTTCTCCGGGATTGGGATACTTGATCTTTTGGTATCTGGCAACCATTTTGATGGCTACCAGGATGTGCTTGATGTTTGCGAGTGGCTTAGTATAGCTTACTTGAAGGCGGAACGTAAAGTGCTTGACTTTATTCTCGTGTTTGTGATGGAGAATGTGTAGTGGTTGTTGTTGTTGTTGTTGTTGTTGTTGTCGTTGTGTTGGTGCTTTCGGTGGTGTATCAAAGAAATTTCAATATTAGACTTGGTGTGAGTAAGATTGGTAGTTACTGAAGAAAGGAAAGAGAAGGAAAGGAGGGAACCTGGTTCAATTTATACGACGAAAGCCCCCGTAGGTCTCTACAACACTTGATGAGTCTTCTCAACATGATGATAACAAACTTAGGAACAAACGGGGCCTACGACGCGACGAACCACCGCATAATCATGACTACCAAGGTGCGGGTGTAGCAAAAGGGAAAACAAATAGCCAAAACCCCACCTTTCTCAGTCGGCTTGAAGCGCAAAACCAGAACCGTATACCTCAGCAAGTAAGAACATTTCTCATTACTCAATCCGCACTAAAAACGCCAGAGGGAGCATACCTAGGTAGCGAAGACCTCGATGCTGGTTCACCAATACGCATCGTGTGTACCCAATAAACTCATATAGCACCCCAAACAGATTATTGAACGTGGTATTATGATACTGCCTCGCCCGGAACTGTTCAGTCTTGCGCTTTTCACGTCCTCATAATCATGTTCAGCGCGTCGTTGTCGGCATTTTAAGACGCGACACAGTATACATCATGAGAACTATAGTAGCAAGCTACAACAAACTAGGCATGCTGTCCAACGTCAGCCAAAGAGGTTTGCCAATCAATGTCATGTTTCAGGCTGCGAGTAATCTAGGTATGGCGGACCAGAGATGTGATGTTCATATGAACCAAGAGCATGTGGACCAAACTACAACGTCCTGAACCGGAGCCCATCGAAATCATATTAGGCTTATAGTGGTTAATGCCACAACCAGAACAAGCTGATATTATTGGTCATGAGTCAGAGAATCTTCCTCCTATCCAGATACCGATACCAACGCCAGACGCTAAAATAGACCATGGATGATAGCAGCCACGCCGAACGCTATGCTAAACTGCAGAGGATAAAACTAAATGGGTATCATGGCAAATGACACGGAAGAACAACAATAACAGCAACAACAACAATAACGACACCACTGGCACCACCACCAAAGGCGCATGTCTTTACCTCCTAGCCGGCGGTGATAGCAACCCGCTGTCAATCGTCTGTCTCTTCATGTCTTCCTTGTCGCCCAGCAGCGCCTTGACTCTCTCCACCCTGCTCACAGCCTTCTCCAGACGATCCAGCCTCCCCATCTTCTCCCTGTCCCTGCGTTCCAGAGTCTCAACCCTCTCTTCCAACTTGGCTCTCGCCCGTCTCTCTTCGGCAACCATTTCGTTTGCCTGACTGAAAAGCTGAACGCTCAGCTCTTCAATCTCCGAATCCACCGTCTGTACGCGTGCTTCGGCCTTGGCGCGTAGGGCACGCTCGCGCTCCAGCTCATTCAGTAGTGTATAGTCGACGGGCGGAGCGCTGGATGCTTCTTTGGGTGGCGGAGGCGGAGGCATAGATGTCGCATTGGCGGGCGACGGGAAGCGGCTTGTGATGAAAGAGAAACGGGAGGCCTTTGTGGAGCTTGACGTTGTGGGACGTGGGGGATCGGCGTCGACGGAGGGGCGAGACGTTGCGTTGACGATGTCGGATTGCGAGGTTTGGGTACGGGGCAGCCTAGGGGCGTTGTGGGGGGTTGCTTGGAGGCTGCGTATCTGGTCTTCGTAGTCGGCGCACCTGTCCACTGTGGGTTGTTAGTTTGGCCTGGTGACGGCTAGCGCCCACGGGAGCATACCAGCTGCGGTTGCTTTCTCCTTTAAGCGCTCCATTTGTGCCTCGAGCTCGTCTATCCTTTGCCTCGCGTCTTGGAGCTCTGTCATGGCTATACTGCTGCCACACGAAGGACAAGTCGGCGTATGCGCATCGTTTGGCACGTGTTTCGTCGGTAGTGGAGGCGCTGGCGGCGATACTTCGACTGTCGCTGCCATGACGCCGGTCCGGTGGGTTTGGACGTTGCGATAGTAATGTTTCGATTTCTCAGTTGACAGGTCTCGGTGGTTTGAGCAAGAAGAACAGGGAGACTGTGGGGTTTGTGTCGTGGCAGTGAATGACGGAGTTTAGCTGGCGCTTGTTAGGTTTCAGCAGTCAAGTGATGATCTCAGATCCCTGCGTCAACTCGCCTCGGGAAGGTCATGCAGGGCACGCGCGCGATACTATTTTCGGACTGACTAATAGCTGACACCCGCGCCCATCACTTTGCTTTTAGCCCTGTTCATGGCCATGCACGTCATTGAGTATTCCTGTCGACTGATACTAACATCCAAGCTACGCAAATGACGCCTTGTTCTCCTTCACCCACTCTTCAAACTGTGTCGGCTCCCGTTCCGTGTACCTCCTCACATTCTCCGCGGCTTTCTCATAGATCTCACTATAAGCGTCGCTTCCCGCGTTGCTTTCTCTCATCCCCTGCACCAGTGTGTCGAGTATCGGCCTGGGAATGTAGCCAAACTTCTCGAAATACCTCTCCTCGTCAATCTCTTTGATCTTGATCTCTTTCCCCAATGCTTTGCTAACAACACCAAAGCCTTCACGTTGGTTCATAATCTTTGGACCGCACAAATAGATTGACTGTCCCGCTTCTTTCTCAAAACGTGGCACTGTGAGAAGTGCACCACACACCGTGCCGATGTCTGAAGGGGCGAGGTAGTCATACACTACGTTGGGATAGAGGAGCTCGACTTCGCCCTTTTTAATGTCCCCAAGATTCCAAAATATGTTGGTGTTGAACCACGCAGGTCGTACGGCCGTGTATGTGATGCCCGTCTCTCTCAGTGCGCCTTCAGCCGCGGCGTGGAAAGCGGCTATCTTGTCCTTCTTGTTGGTATCCGAGGTTAGGGGATCTTTGACCTTGAACGAAGACAAGAGTACAACATATGTTATACCGGACTCCTTCAGCGCTTCGAAGCTGCGTCGCATGCCGTCCTTGATCTCATGTACGACATACACAAAGGCTGTCTTTGCACCGGACGTCTCGACGGCGTGTTTGATCGTCTCGGGCTTGGCTAAATCAGCTTGAACGCGGACGTAGTTGTTTCCGTCTCCTTCAATTCCCTTCAATTCTTTCTTCGTGTCCCGCATACCGAGATAGACTGTGGCACCGCGCCTATGTGCTTCAATGGCAGCAGCGCCACCCACCCCTCCAGTGGGGCCGAAAACGAGAACTGGAGAAGTCATGACAGGTTATGGGGGTTGAGCGGTGGTCTTTCGAGTGACTTGATACGATATGAAAAGTTGTCGCATTATCATAGCCGATGTTGAGTTACTTTATGTTACCTTGGAGGCATACTGTTAGGCGTGCCGTGTCGGCGTCCGCGGCCTGCTGTACGGTATCTCGGTGACCCGGTATACCAATGACAACTGCGACAAGACCAAGTGACTAGTCGTGTGCGCTAAATACGAACAGATGATGAATAATACGTCTACCTTTAGTCGGCATTCTAAATTTCCGGGTCCCCATTTGCGGGCAAAGATAGAAAAAGAAGGTGTCGGTGTCGACGTCGATGACGTCAGGAGCGTAGAGATAACCTAGACCACATAGTACCCTCGGGTAATGTGTGCAACACGATATACTCTCTTTCTATGATATCTCAACATTCTGTTTTCTTACTGTGAAGATCTAGACCTATCCTCGTACTAAGAGGAATACGCGCACGCATTGGTGGCTAGCTGATCGTACCACAGGCCTACCAAGAAGATAGTCGGTTTTTTTTACTAGACAGAGTAAAAGTGACGATAGTAAAGTACCTAGTTTGTGTCTTGTGCCTGTTTATGATGACCTTTTCTCCAAACAACATGAAAGACACGAATAATAATAATAATAATAATCATCGGAGCGCAGGCATCAATGAACTGCCACAGCTAGCAATACGCGTTATACGCTCTGTCTGGCACCTGCACGCTATTCCTGTCGTCACTACGCACCTCATTCACAATCGTCTTCGTAATCTCACCCTTGCCAGGCTGCACAGAGTCATCCAATATGTACTTCTCGCTATCTCCGTCATCAATATCGTCCCGCTGGAATCGTGAGCGACCATTCTTTGGTCCACTGCCAATCGTAAACTGTTGGCTGGCGTTGTATAGCGGTATGTCGTTACCACTGGCTTGCGCCTTGGATCTGGTCACCATCGAAGAGAGAACATGTCGGAAGAATGCGTCGAACTGCTTTCGTAGTGGAGGCAAAGATGCGATAAGCACGCCGACTGAGAGCTCGGTTGCAGACCAGATGGAGAGGTAGGTACCGTCCCACATTGGATCCCGCGTCTTCATCAGGGCGGAAAGCTCAACGGTCTTTGCAATTGAACAGGCCGTTGCGCTATCGTTTGGGTCAATTGATATGAGTCAAGGTGTCGAAGAAAGATGCTTACGCTAATCCCAGTAAGAAGACGATGCGAAGACCCCACTGGGTACGCTTTGGTAGTTGGATACTTGATAGGTATATGATGGGTGCAACGACGTATATCACATCAGTGATACAGTTAGCAACTCCCTGGTTCCTTGTCAATGGGCCATATGCAATGCAATTCGCTTGGTGAACGAACCTGACTGTACGTGAGACCTGTTCCAAATTTCATGAAGCACTTTCCTTTCAAAGTCTTGTTCCAGTTCGCCTCAAATGGCGTGGTACAGAAGCATCCCATGAGAGGCAGCATCATGTTAAATGCAGTTACCATCAGAATCGAAGCCCATATCACCGTGAGGTATATGCGTGAGAACTTTAGTGACAGGAGGAGGGCACATATGGAATACTTCAACAACCCCACAGCGAGAATGTTCAATATTTGTCCAATCCAGAGAAAGTACATATACTTCAAAACATCGTAGGGTTTTTTGATACTGGGATCTGCCATATGACGGCCCTGACCATGGTAACAGGTTCGGTAACGAAGGCCCGTTGTCACGATGTTCAGCATCTATAGTCAAACTTGTTAGGAAGCCTTATCTTTTGTAAAAGAGCTGCTGCAGGTGACGAACCGTAGCGATTATGAGGAGATAATCGCATAGTACAAGCTTCCGCTTAGCCTTGATACCGTAGACAAGTCGCCATATAAACACTGCGGTACTTAATACGCACAAGATGGTGGTAGGAACAAGAATGTTAAGAGTTCGGTCTGGCCAGTCTTGTTGCTCAGCGAACGCCATGGCAAGTGTCGAGATATAGTAGACGAGATGCGAACGCGAAGGAAGAGAAGTGATGTCGGTCGTAGAATATGCGTCGAGAGGCACGCTTTATTCCAGCCTCTGATCCCAGACAAGTCATCCAGTGTCCCGAAAACCCGAAAGGTTCGCTAAACCGCTCATATACCATGGTAGTCGATCAAAGACCTCTTGGCAAATGCTCATGCGAGCATAGGGATTCGTTCCCATCAGTGGTAGGGTATCCTAGCGCTGGGCATACGGTTCACCCCAGACATTTTTGCGGTTTCCGGGTTTGCACCGAGATGCTGCAAGGGCTCTACTATTCATGTACTAGTGCGGCGTGGCAGCTCCCGTTCCACAGTTTACGTGATAGAACCAGGCTTAAATTTATGATGATGGTGACAAGACCTCTTCACATTGTCGTCAGGATGCCTGTGTCGACCATCTAGAAGGTGAAGTGAGCAGCAACATACTCGAAGTCGCCTGTTTGGAAATGGCTTCAGGTCGTCCATCATGAGCCTGAATGCAAACTCTGTTACTCAACAGCCCACGAACATGGTGCCATAGTCGTAACATGTACTGGTTGGTCAATCTTCCCACAATCCTTCGAGGAGCAGGAGGCGGACACATGTGATAACCGCGCAGGCTGAAACTACCTAGGTATGCCGAGTATTTTCTACTTGTTCCCGACCAACGTTTGAAATTTTAGAAATCCAGCCTCAACCCTGTGAATGAATTAGTACGTACCTCTTTCTCCTGTAGCTTGATCCTAATGCTTGTAGTAGTATGCGGGAGCATGCTTCCGCTCCGCATTGACCTGCTTCAACCGTTTCCCCAACCAATGCTTGCTATTTGCTTCAACATCCAGACCCGCTGGAGGCTTCTACACGCTCCGTCGCCCTGCATCGCAAATTTCGCAAGCGGGGCTCGGATTGTCGGCTGGTTAGCCAGTTAAGCTCCCGCCGTCCCGTCCCATCCCGCGCTGATGCTGACACGAAAGTGGCTTCAAGATCTGCGTAGAGTAACCGGCTAAAGAAGTGTACTGATAGCTATTGAGAATTACCAAAAGACCGTTTGAGACGAGAACTACTGTGGGACCATTGGCAAAGAACAGAGTCGCAGAACCTGTGGTCTGCTACGGTGGGTCCTCGAGCTTAGCGACAGCAACGCCGCAATATAATCCTATGAACCACGCTGCAATCCTACAATCTTTCGTGCTCTGATACGACTCGATAGGCATTCAGAAGATGCCGAAAAACGTGAATAGTCATAGCCGATCGTACCAATGAAGCGTGTCGTGCGGAGATTTCCCCACGCCTCTCTCAGTTCAAGTAGTGCGATTGTCGCTCGAAAGCCGAGGTGTAGAGTGTGGATAGGGATAATCGTATGTATCAGATCTACCGAGCTAAGCTAAGATGGGATGATACCCATATATACCCCAGCGACTGCCGTCCTTGGCATTATGTGACATGAGGTCTCTTCAAGACGTAAAGAGTCTGCGAGGAGAAAACCCATGCTTCCAAACAGTTGGGAACGACAAGAGTACCGAAAGTTAGTAGCAATGGTTTCTCGTGTCATCCTCATATAGAGCGTATTCTGCAGTTTCGAGAGATTGTTGATCATGCAGGGGGGTGGTGTAGTTAGAGAGGACTTTCTAGATCCGGCAGAGTGCCGAGCCGTCAGGCCAAGATCGCCTAATCTCGGAGCCATGCTATTTCCAACAATGTCCTGTCCCGAGCCATGCACTTGCAAGGAATTAATGTACCGCCGGGCTTTAGAACATGTGGGCCAGATTCTCAGCTTACCTGCCAAACGTGTCGGGCCTTTGCGACCGATGTTTGCCATACCGGTGCGTCTACTCATGTATACATACAACTCATGCACGCTCAAGTACCGAAGGAAGGCTAGGACGTAGTACTGATATTCACGAAGATGTTTAAGAGCGCATGAGATCCCTTCTTTCTCTACAGGTGCATCTCCCCTTGGTCTGAATCACTTGTTCACCCTGGTTGTGGTTTCGCTCAGAAGCCGTTCGTCGATATGTTTTCTCCCCGGAATTTAGCCATCGTTATTCTGGTGGGACTCTCAGTCGCCCAAGACACGTACGACTATGTTATTGTTGGGGGTGGAGTCACTGGCCTTGTTGTAGCCAATCGCCTGACCGAAGACAAGAAAAGTAGGCCAATGTAACCGATTCAGATGTGTACGAAGCTAACAGTATGGTCTCGCAGAATCTGTACTCGTCATCGAAGCCGGAAGAGCAGACGACAACCCAAATATTCGTATGCCTTATGGCGCCACGTATTCCCTCAACACCTCTCTTCTGTGGTCAGACTATGTATCACAGCCAGAACCATATCTTGGTAACAAGACATGGAACACTCGTGTCGCGCAAATCCTCGGCGGTGGTTCTTGTGTTAATGGGATGCTTTATGATCGCGGATCAGCGGCGGACTACAATGCTTGGGAGGCGTTGGGCAACAAGGGTTGGGGATGGGAAGGGATGTATCCATACTTCAAGAAGGGAACGGAATTCACCCCACCTCCCGCGGAAACAGTCGAACAAGTCGAAATTACTTGGGATCCCGAGGCGTAAGTCAGCAAAACACTTAGTAGATCTGAGCTACTTCTAACGTCAGTGACTTGTAGATACGGAAAGGGTCCATTGAAGCTTGGCATCACCGACACACAATACTCCGATATTGTTGACTACTTCGCAGCCTTCGAAGGCACTGGTGGCGCATATGCGGCTCGCGACGGTAACAATGGAGAGGCATACGGCACCTCATGGTACCCCAATACGATGAATCCCAAAACTGGTGAAAGATCGCACGCTCGTAACTCATACTACGACCCTGTGATGAGTCGTTCGAACCTGAAGGTCGTGCTACAGACGTTGGCAACTGAGCTCGTGTTTGACGGTGACAAGAAGCTCACAGCAAAGGGCGTGAAGGTCACTGACAAGACTACTGGCTCGTCGACAACTTACTATGCGAAGAAAGAGGTCATCTTGGCCGCTGTACGTTTATCCTGACATACTTGTCTCTTTTCCTTGCAGAGTGAACATATACTGACCTTGCTTCCACTTTTAGGGTGCTGTAAATACACCAAAACTTCTCCAGAACAGCGGTGTCGGACCAAGAGCTGTACTTGAAGCTGCTGGCATCTCTGTGAAGCTTGAGCACGACGGCGTAGGTGCGAACTTCCAGGATCATCCATACACTGGTGTTGGGTTCAACGTCTCCAACGTCAGCAGCCCGAACGCGATGTCTTTGACTACAGACCCAGCATACAACGCTTCTGCATGGGAGGAGTACCGTGTCAACAAGACGGGACCGCTGACTCAGGCCCGTGGCAACAGTCTAGCCATGATGCCACTTCCTGTAGTGGATCCTGAAAACTACCGCAGTATCGCAAACCGAATCCGTGGCCTCAAGAACGACGAGTATCTGCCATCGATCTACAAGAACAATGCGAAGCTGCTTAAGGGTGTCAAGGCACAGCGCAAAGTAATCACCGAGATTTTCGAGAACGAAAAGGCAGCTGTTGTGGAATACGGTATTCCGTCATCAGGCGGCTACGTTCTCGTCGGTTTGGAGAAGCCAGTTTCTCGTGGAACCATCATGATCAACCCTACCAACCCTCAAGGACCGCCAAGAATATTCTACAACGCGCTTAGTAACCCAGTTGACAAATCTGTGCTTGCTGCATGTGTCCGCCATCTCCGTAAGGTCTGGGCAGGCCCTGAGCTGGCAAAGTATACCCCGGTCGAGACGACGCCGGGAGCCCAGTACAAGACTGATGACGAGATCATCAACAAGTCCGTTGAGCTGGGAAGCGTTTGGCCAACTCTTTCACACCCATCTTGCAGCTGTGCGATGTTGCCTGAAGACATGGGTGGTTGCGTGTCTGAGAAGCTTCTCTTCTATGGCGTCAAAAAACTGTCTATTATCGATGCTTCCATCCTCCCTCTCATTCCTTCTCAGCACATCCAGGCAACTATGTATGCTGTTGGCGAGAAGGCAGCGGATATCATTAAGAAAAGAGGTTGATTTGACGGAGGTTTTGAGCATGCTGCTCATTCATGTTACACGTTCGTACCCTGAATTTGATCAGTTATACAGCAATAGCAAGGTCGCCTGATACGTGCCTCAGGTCGTCGTGATCTCTATCATCGCCACCGTGAGTAGAAGTGGTGTGTTCCAGTAATTTGTATTTCTAGACTTTAGGTCCAGCATGTGCATTGCAGAGCAGTATAGCAGGGTGTCTTGTGAGGTCCTTCCGTAGTCAATGTCGAAATGGTGGCACCAGGCATCATTATGTTTCATGCCATGGGCTTTTGGACCACCTGGTAGGTTTGGTAATAGGTATACGTTGATAAGAGAAGAGGATCATATACATGCTAAGAAGCTCATGTCTGTTGACGTGTTGGGTCAAGTCTGAACAGGAACGAACTTATCTGCGAAGCGTTTGATGGGCGAAAGAAGAAGACGAAGGAGAACAGCACTATATAGCATCGCATTGGCTCTTGTTCGGAATTCTCCCAAGTCCTGATGGTGTTTGGCTCTTCGATCATAGGCTCACATTTGCATGCGGATATGTACAATAACGTCTACAGCTACCCTCTATGTTAGTAACATATGCGATCCGCTGCTGAGTAGAAATGTCGCATATCCATCGAACGTATTGCGTGCACGTCATCACCTTGCACATTCAGACTACGCCTCTAAAAGACCCCCCATCGATAGCACCGCTTTACGCATTACTCGTACTTGTCTGACTATTGTACAGGATCTTTGGCATTGCAGCCTTTTCTCAGATCGTGGTATCATTCCACAATACGCGCCTCGCTATGCATGTAAAGAGACAAACTTTTGGGAAAACAAACAACCTCACCATTATTCGCCATACCGCACCGTGCGCATCACCCATCACGCGTGCGGTACGCACCTGCTCAATATATGTCATCGTCGATCTCGCCTTCGGCATCAATGTCCTCCTCCACGTCCGCGTCCGCCATCTCCACGTTATCAATGGGCACACCCGTGGCCTCGGGGGTGTGAGATTTGCTTACTGTCGGGTCTGGAGTTGGTACTTGCTCGGTTTGTGGAGTCGCAGAGCCGGAAGGGGGTATGGTTTCTGACCAGTTCTCCTCTGCCTGAGATTGCTCAGAGTTGAGGGCTTGGTGTATGATCCTGTACTGTTGTTTCGGGTTCTTGAGAATCTCGCGACTCGTGCTCGTCTCCACGGCGCCAACCTCCGGATCATTCGCATCGCCTTCTTCCTCGACGGGGGCAGCGTCAGCGCCTGTTACCTTACGCGCTTGTAACGTTGAGTGCCTCAAGTTGTAATCGACGCGCCAACGCTGCTTCTCGTGGTTCTTCGCTTTACGCTTGACATGCTCGCCAAACCAGTCGTCTTCCGTATCACGCAGCTGGTCGCCGAATGCAGCCCAAAATCCGGGAAGGGTAATGTAACCGCCGCCAACCGTCTTGGTGACTACCTTGATGGACTCAAGCCAGTCTAAGACAAGCTGAATCTCAAACAGCTCGGTGGTATGCTCAGGACAATGGGAGTGAATATCGGTAACAGTCGCGCCAGCTAAGAAGATTAAGGGCTGTAGCACCAAGTTCAGAACCCGGTACCACCACGGCCATGTAACGGATTGGCCGTCAATACTGCTCCAAATGGGTAGCAGTGCGCCAGCATCGTGTTTGCCAGGAAGAGGCGGCTCAGGTAGAGCCCGCCAGACCGCAGGCTCATCCTGCATAGGCGAGAGCGGAGTGGACAACGGCTGCAGTGGGTTACCAAACTTGTAGTCTGCTGTCGGCACGACATGAATGTCCCAGAACAAACGGCTTCTGTCTATAGCTCGGTGGTTGTAGCCGCCTTCGCAAAAGCCCCAAACGGACAGCTTTGGGAGCGAGGCGTCGAATTCGTTGTTGACAGGCGGTAGCTGAGGAGCTAGCTTAACTGTCCCCTCGTTTACCATGGTCATGATTGCTGCAAAAGCGCCATCCTCTTCGCAGCGTGACATGTTGTAAAATCTCTGCCCTGGATCATCGTCTGCAAACGCAGCGTCCATCTTTTTCTTGATCTTGACGGCGTTCATGAAGTCGTCGAGCTGGAACAAACGTGTGTACTTCTTCGCCAAGGCTTGCGTGAAATTATAGTTGCGGCCGGGTAGGAGGCGCTTGAGCTTGCGCATCCTGAGATGCTGCTTGTCCACGAGATCACCCACAACATTGACCAATACAGTCTCACCAATGTCTTTAAACTTCTCGTGTGCCAGGTTCGCATCATAAAGCGCCTGCGGTGTAGCTGTGTTCGCACGAATCCATGATCGTGCCTTGAGAAGCTTATCGTCAGGTGACCAGATCGCCTCACGCGATCGATGGAGTGGAGCAGTAAAGGATTGTTGTAGCTGAAGCATTGTCCTCGTTCGATCTGCTGTCGCAGCTTTGTACCATAGCACACGATCTAATATCTCGTATTTTGACTCATCAACAGTGAACTGTTGCAGTGCTTGCCTCAAGACGGGGAGAGGAAGATCTGGGTAGGCACACTTTCGCATGGCCCATCGTACCAGACCCGTCCAATCGTGCGTCTCAGGATTCTCAATAGCTGCGACTTTGCCAGTTTCGTAAGCTTCAAGATAAAGCGACTGGAAGGTAGTGGTAAGCTCAAAAACCTGCTCAGACATGTGCTTCTGCATCCAGTCCCAAAGCTTCTTGGTCTTCGCCAAATCGAAGAATCTGTTACTGTCGTATATCCTCTTGAAAAGTCTCCAGTCAATCTGCCCGTCCTCTCCGGATAGAGAAGAAACAACGATGAAAGTATAGAAGAGCTTTTTGAAATCATCCAACGAGTCCGTAGCCTGAGCATACTGCCGTTCCTTCTTGAACCTGTTAATGCGTATCCTCTTCCGCTCGCTCCATGACCGAGGTGATTTTTCAGGTCTAGGTACACGCTGCGGGGGCTGGTATATTGGATCGTTTGGATCACCAGTTAGACCAGTGAGGCGTTCCAATAAGGTTGGAGGAGGACCCGGCTTGCCTCGTTGCCGTCCATGGAAGTTTCTCATCCTTCGCTTCTTCGTGTTGGAATGTACAGCGTTGTCGCTGCCCTCAGACTCGTCGTCTATCTCCGAAGCAGATCGTGCATCATCATCCATACCAGGGTGATAGGTAGATTCCACATCTTGCGTTGTTGTAGATGTTGCTGGGGTGGTACGGGTTCTCTTCCTGGATGACTGGTCGCGCGGAGCTATGATCCGTACTCGCTTCTTGCCCTTCTCTACGGCAGCAGATTCGTCCGCAGACTTCCCATCAGAGGCCAGGGGACCAGAGTTTTCAACATTGGCAGAATCAGGCTCCGCAGCAGTCACATTGTTGGAAGATTCTTCGACGATGGACTGAGTTACATCCAGCGGGATCTGTTCATCTACAGCGTTGCTTTGCGCCTGTTGCGCGACCCAGTCAGTTACTTCTTCATCGCTCTCATCGTCTTCAGGCGGCTCATCATCGGAAAGTTGCTCGCGTTCCGGAACAGGCGCGACGATGGGTCGAGTCCAGATGAGCGAGATCTGTCCAGATTTGGCGGCAGGTTCATCATCTGCCACGTCGTCGGAGTCTTCGTCAAAAGCTCCCATGCTGGCAGCATACAGAGGAGCACGACGTAGCTTCTTGCTCTTATCATTTAAACTAGCAAGTCGCGCCCGCTTTGTATGCGGCCCACCGCTACTGTCTCGAATCTGCTTAGAAGATACTTGTTCGACCTGAGCGTTCTGGGCCTTGCGAGCCTTGGCCTCCAGCCTTTTCTGTTTCTGCCATATGCTGCGCTTTCGAAGCTTGGCTTCAGTGATTTGCTTTTCTAGCTCAGGATTTAGCTGATTGAGAATGATGCTCTCATCCTTGGGAGCAGCTTGGATTGGTTGGTATGATACAACCTCGCCGATCAGATCGCGGATCTCCTCTGGGTAATACAAAAGTGACTTCTCTGACACACGGTGAACGTTTTCTTTTTGCTGGGAGTATTGCGCCATGTTGTGCGCCAACTTGAGGACCTCAGGACTTCTCTCGTTCAGATGTGCCCGTGTGTACATCCTTCTGGTCGCAGTACCTGGCATGTTCTTGTGCTGCGAAGCAAAAGTCCAATGCTTCAGCCTGAATCGCGGGTCTGCAGACATATTCCTCAGTGTCTCGGTAATAGTGCTAATTGAAGGCTCTGCGATATTTGGGTACGTTTTTTTCCAAAGCGTAAGAAATGGTCTTGACATCTCACCACCACCAGGGAAAACACCATGGCATGTGTCGATGATCTTCTCGATAAGCTTTTGCCTCAGCGCGCGCTGAGTGCCTGTTATACCACCGGTTTGAGCTTTCCTGGGCTTGGTGCCTGGAACACTAGGTGCTGGAGTCTCTACAATGAAGCTATGAATGGCATCGGGAGGGGAAGTGCCGGTTTCGGTCCCAGGAGTAGGAAGTGGCGGTTCGGCGATGCTGAGGGTGGGTTCTTCACCAATCTGGGTACTAGTCGGAGTATCTGGTGATGGACGAGCTTCTGAGCCTACAATGGCAGCATAAGGGCTCTGATAAGGTGTCGTGCGGGAGCGCTCAGTCGCATTGATGGGAGCCCAGCCGCCTACTATGCGTGGTGTTGGTGAGACTTTCGGTGGTGACCGCCTCGGTGCAACTTCAGAAACAGCGTTGACCTGCTCTTCAACGATCGTGTCGGTTGCAGTTGTTGCCGGCTTGGCGTCCCTGTCTTCAGCAATAGTGGATTCGGGTACGGACGATAATGCTTCTGCCCTGCTAACCTCGTTGCCGACTTGCGATGCTCCACATTCCGACAAAGTTGAGCTTTTGGTAGGGAGAGATGACACTTTGTGATCCACAACAATCTCCTGTGACTCTATGACACTCGGTGACTGGGGTTGCACTGAGGATCGTGACCTTCTTTCAGCGAAAGGCGTTTGTCGTGAACCAGAAACCTCCGAGTTGACCAGTGAATGCACCTGCGTGTGTGCCTCGGGTGATATCCCGACTGGAGGTTCTCGATGCGGTTCGACCACGTTATCATTCTGCTGATCAATGACGATGCACCCAGCTTCAGGAGTAGCAGTAGGGTCAATTCGGTCTACGGCCTGCTCCTGAACCGACTCCAATGTAAACCATTCAAAGTCTGCTAGACGCGGTAGCTTGAAGGTGGCCATTAGAGCCTTGCGTGGTCGGCCTCGAGCAACCTTCTGCTTCATATAAGGATTGAGAAAGAGACCTGGGCCGCGTCGTTTCTCGTACTGGTCGAAGGCTATTCGAGCATGGGCATCCAATTTCGAGGTATCGGGTTGAACATATATCCTCGTCGTTACATGTTTTGGAGACTGTTTGGCTTCTACGCTTGGGAAGATAAAATCTCTTACTGGCGAAGGTGTTGCCAGGACAGGTTGAATGGCTTGCGCCGAAGTCGATTGGCTTGTATCATCGGTACGGCTTTCATCTGGACAGGCCACTGAAGTACCGTCTTCCAGTGGACTTGTTGCATCAGTGGGCGAGGGAGACATTGATGTCATAGATCTTGAGGTTGACCTGTATGGTACAGTGTCTCTGTTACGTCGCCTCTTTGACGTCTTTGGAGTGATGACAGAGTCTTCCGCCCTTCGCTTCCCTGTGATGATATTGGACGACAGAATCTCAGCCTCGGGTTCCACAGCGGCAGGATTAGGCGTATATTCGGCGTCCGGATTCTCCATAGACACATCGTGATCCTCTGTTAGGGTGGTCTGCTTCGGGATGGGTTTAGCGCCCTTTTTCTTGTCACTTTCCTCTTTCCTGCGCTTCATTTCTGTGTCCCAGCTCGCAATGACTTTTGAATCTTTCACGGAGATACCATCTTCGCGCTCTTGGCGTAAGCCTTCTATGATCGCTTGCGGTAACCGACCATGATCTGTCCAGCCCAGAGCTATCCTCTGCGACTTGCTGAGGACAGTAGGTTCGCTCGTGGCTTTTGTCACTTGCTTCTTCTCCTTTTTCACCAGCTGGGGTAGTCCACGTTTTGCCCGAATTTCGTTCTCTGTCGCGATACCCAAGCGCCCTTTGGCTGCCAATCCTAGTGCCAACCGCTCCTCTGTTGTCAGCAGTGGCTGAGGTAGTTGACGCTTTGCTCGATTATCCACAATCGCATCAGGCAGAGAAAACGGGTCACCTGTTTTCTGACGATGGGCGAGGATTTGGGCCTGGACGCTTTTGCTCAACCGGGCATCACCATCAAGCCCTAGCGATGTCTTCTCCTCAGGTGTTAGCATGATAGTCGGGCGTTTCCTAGAAGCTTTGGGGGCTTTCGACGTCCGAACGGGCTTCTCTTTGGTGACTTTCTGTTTCTTGATTCGGCCTGGTGTTTTGACTTTCAGAACGGACGTTGCAAGTTTCTTGTAGCCGGCCTCCTCCGCCACTGCGTTATCCCATCGTGGACCATTCTTCCGCGGTTTCACGATGGCTGAACCCGCCTCAGATAGTGTTGCCGAACCGGTCTCCCGAACCAAATCTTCCGCACTGACAGTTGGAAACCCCCACGCATCCAGGACAAGCTCGTTATCCGAACTCTGACCAGGTTCTTGAGGCACCATAACACCCTCCCAGACAGCTATCTTCGCCTCGACAGCTTTTTGAAAATTTTCGTATGTGCGGTAGAGGTAATGAATATACTTTTTGGGCTTGGTAGTACCCGCATCTCGAATAACTGCTAGGTGTCGTAGATGAATAGGTTGTGTCTTCTCCCAGTCGCATGTCACACGAACTAAATATGACTCGATCGGGCGCCTCCAGAAAGGGCCAACGATCCGATTGCGCAGAGCCTCAGCGTCCCAACCCTGAGCACCGCCCAGAGCCGTGGCATTGAAGATGATGTTAGGAAGAAAGCGGTCGGGTATCCACTGAGGAGGAACGCTATCAGCATTATTGGCAACCGGCTTAGCATTGACATGGTTGTCCACATTGGCGTCTGCGTCGTCTGGCATATCTGCATCGAGATCCTTCAACAGCGACTCGCCATTAATATCTTCATCTGGAAGCTCGTCGACCGAGTCATTCGGAAGGTCAGCTACGCGTCGAAAACCAAGGTTCTTGAGGTCCTCCTCCTGGGGTTCGCGCAGCACCTGAATGCAAGTAATCCACTTGTCGGAAGATGCCTTCTTGAGAACTCTACGTCGCTTAATCATTCCGCTTTGATCGAGTCGGATGAGTGCGCCCTGCGTAGCTCGTTTGTTCCATCGAGACATGGGTACCTCCTACTCAATGTTAGAAGCTACACCATTGCATAAGGGCAACAGACTTACGAGCTTTTCCCTGATTGACCGCGTGGGTACAATACCACCTTGACCAACAACGTTATACAACAGTTGAGCGAAGTTCCTAACCACAAATGTACCGTCCTCTTGATACACGTCTTCCATGGCACTAGACTTGATAAAGGTGTTCTGAGAAACAAACTTGGCATGGATGCAGAGACTAGTGCGCATCTTGTTTGACTGAACGGAAATCTTGGCGATGTAGTTCTTGCGAGCCAACTCGTCTGTTCGTTTAGGGACAGACCTCTTGTCTTGCCCGCTGATGTTGATCAATTCAGGTTGTGTGATACCAGCCGCTCCACGAGCAGCAATGAGAGAAAGCAATACGAATTCCATGCTGGGAACCTTCTTCAAATCAATACCGTGGCCTGTAAGCGCCTGCCAAACTCTGCTTTGGCTGGCATACAAGCGAGGGGCAGTGATACTAGAGTCGGGTTCATCGAAGGCTTCCGTGGTGCGAGACGCTTCGCTTGGTAGGTTGCGAATTGGTCTTGATATGGGCATGTGAGCTAGAGTATCAGACGGCAGAGTCACAAGTTCTTTCTGGTCGTATCCGTCTTCGAGGATGCGTTGGCGTAGAGAGTCTTTTAGACCACATAGCGCTTTAGAAGGCCGCACTATCCCCTTGATTGTATTGGTGGGCGACTGGTTCAGGTTTGTTGAATGCGTCTCTCCGATCGTACCGGTCTCATGTAGCTCAGCCGCTTCGAATTCGGAAAGAGTGAACTGACGAACCTCCTGCTGGTAGACTATGCGAATATCGGAATGATTAGTGAGCCATTGCCATAGGCGCTCATAGAACGCGCGGCCAAGCCCGGTTGATGGAGCATCCCTTTGGCCATTCCTGCTGGTTGCAGGCTCATCATTGTCGACGGCCTGTTTGTAGAAGACATCAATAAAGTGACGAAAGTCTGCGCTGCTAGCACCTGAAGACGCGTTAGTACCCAAGAAGTGGTAGATTGATTTCGAAAAAGCGACGCTATGAGCAGCGCAACGGCCAAGATGACGGGAGCGCAACAATCTCACTTCCCAGCCAAATTACGTTGTAGCTCATGGAAATTGACAATGTCGAGTAGCTCGAAAGGGCCAGTGCGCGGATGGAAGCAACAACTACACGTGCAACGAGTCATGCATACCTTGTACGCCTCGGAGTGCAATTTCTGACAGCAGAAATTCCAGCAGCTTGTCGTAGCCCGTCGCCATGGTGCTCTCACCCGTCCCCTTTCAACTCGGGCAGCGTGATGCGAATACAAGGAAACGCGCTTAAGGCATGTCAAAAAGTGGCGAGGCGGCGATTCGAACGTGCACTGTGGAAGATGCTAGGGTGAGATCGAGATGTGAGTGGCTGCAGCTGGTACTGGGAATGCCTTGGATCGCGAAAGTTGGTATCGAATGTAGCAAAAATTCTAACGCGCTCTTGCGGTAGATGATGCAAGCTGTTGATGGCGGGTTTCGAACGCGTGCAAAAAAAGATTGCTGTCGAATCGGTCGATACTCTGGCTGCTTAGCGGGGTTGGGAGCTGCAAAAAGGCGCCTAAGAGAGAAAGAATCTTGCCCCGCGTCGGGTCTTGGCAACGCGGCCCGCGCTCACGCTAATTGATATGGTAAGTGCACTTATCTGATAGCTGTCGTCCACGTCTTCAACGAAGAGAACTGCTGTTCAGTGAAGCGCATCTATGTCCGCGCTACCTATGGCTCCGCCGCATTCATAACATCGCTGTCTTGGTAGACCACTGTATATGTTCAGAGCCAGAAATTGTAGAAGATGAACATTTTCAAGCTCCGATAACACTCCGTCATGTCCTTCGTCTCTCCCTTCGGCACATCAACATCGAAACCCGGCCATGGATCCATCGTCCTCGAGATACTTCCTCCGGATAAACCTGTCCTTCGAACTGTATCCTACCAGTATCCCCTTAAGCTAGTTGCGCCAGATCCGTTAGCACCACCCAACTATGACAGAGAAGTGGACCGCAATACAACAACAGGAGTACCTTGCCTCATTCACACAGTCTTCCTGTTGACTTATGGTGGAGGAATTGTTGCTGGAGATAGCATAGATTTGGACGTCAAACTAGACAGTAGTACACGGCTGATACTGTTGACCCAAGGTTCGACTAAGATCTTCAAAACCCCAAGTCCAGACCTAGTCTCCCGACAGCATATGAACACATACCTCAAGCAGGATTCTGCGTTGGTCTATCTCCCGGATCCTGTGCAACCTTTTGCACACACAGCGTTCTCCCAGTCTCAAGTCTATCACTTGGAGAAAGAGCAGGGTAACTTGTGCGTTTGCGATTGGGTGACGAGTGGCCGTTCAGCACGAGGAGAAAATTGGGATATATATGAATATAAGAGTCGGAACGAGGTGTGGACTGTAGGTGATGCAGGGAAGAAAAGACTACTTCTACGAGACAATCTCATTCTGAACAAGCATGGCAAGACCGGAATGCCACTCGCCTCTCGTATGGATAACTACTCCGTTTTTGGGACTTTGATCATTCGCGGTCCAATCTTCTCGTCAGTAGCCAAATTCTTTCTGGACGAGTTCGAGGCACTACCGCGTATTGGAGGAAGAAACTGGGGCGACGTCGTGCAGCCTGAGCTTCAAGCACACGAGCAGAGGCGATACGAGAGGCAACAGCGAGAGGGGAGTGATGGCCTGGTATGGAGTGCTGCAAACGTGAGGGGTTTTGTTCTGGTCAAGTTCGCAAGCAGGGAAGTGGAAGGATCACGGAACTGGTTAAGGGATATGATCAAGGAAGAAGGATCCCTGCTAGATGCATTTGGGGAAAGGGCGATTCTGTGTCTAAAGTGAGGCTATGGAGCATTGATACCCGGGTCCAGGTAGATCTGTCGACGAGAAAATTTGTCACATGTCGTGTCTCGATGCTGTCGTGTTGCATGTGTTGTCCATGTACTTGCAGCCCCACGCCGAGGTGCTTGGGCCATGGCCGCCAACCGCGTACCAAAAGTCGATGTGTGACGTGCATAGCCGCACCTCGAACGCTCGTATAACCTTCGCAACCACCTAGCCTGTCTGATCCTATGCTATACCAAAGACCTCACGTGGTCTTTTTGTCGTCAATATGAGCGGCAGGCTCGTCGCGGGCCGCCTTTCCACCATCGCACGCCGTTCACCGCTGCTCACTCCACGCTTCTACACGACGCATTCCCTCCCCGCCGGTGGACTCCTCCGCAATGAAGCCGGCCTGCGGCTGGTGAAGCGACGACCATGGCCGCTCGGTAGCTACGCGCTGCACAACATCCCCGCCACACGGTCCATCTCTTTTGCCAGGGTGATACCAAAGCTGGTGGGCAAGTTCGCGACCGTGGGTGCGGCTGCTGGAGGGGCTGTCGTCGCAGGGGTTTCCTACATCCAGTACCAAGCCGGCCGTACGTATACAGGAAGAACCATCTGCATCGGAAAGCTGACATCAAACAGAGGCGGGAACATTCGCACTCGATCTCTTCCACCGAACCAAAGACGGCGCGACCGAATTTGCTGGCGGCGCCCTCAGCACGGCAAACGGCTTCTTCGACCAGCTAGAAAAGGGCTTCAAGTCGACCAAGGATGAATTTGAGGGCGTAAAGGCACCAGAATGGCTACAGCGATTGCTTGCCAAGGACGAATCTGGTGGTGCAGGAGGCGACAACGGTAACGGCGGTGGCAGAGGCCCAGAGAACCCCAAGCAAGGTGGTGCTGGGACTGCTGCTGCCGGTACGTCAACAGCAGCAGCGTTTGGCTATTCTCAGGAAGACGACGAGGACAGGCCGCAGGCGGAGAAGATCGCAAGAGACGACCAGATGATGATGCTCACTAAGAAGATGATCGAGATCCGCGGGCTTCTACAGACGGTAGGACAGTCCGACTCCCTCACACTGCCGTCTATCGTCGTTATCGGATCACAGTCGTCTGGAAAGAGTTCGGTCTTGGAAGCCATCGTCGGCCACGAGTTTTTGCCAAAGGGACACAACATGGTCACACGACGACCTATCGAGCTCACACTTGTCAATACGCCAGAGGCGCACGCTGAGTACTGCGAATTCCCTGCCCTCGGTCTTGGAAAGGTCACAGACTTCAGTCAGGTACAGAAGACACTGACAGACCTGAACCTGGCTGTGCCGGCGAGCGACTGTGTGTCTGACGACCCTATCCAATTACGAGTCTACTCTCCCAACGTTCCTGATCTCTCCCTGATCGATCTGCCCGGCTACATCCAAGTCGTTGGTCGAGACCAGCCCCCACAGCTGAAGGAGAAGATCTCGCAGCTGTGCGAGAAATACATCAAGGCACCCAACGTCATTCTCGCCATCTCGGCAGCTGACGTGGATTTGGCCAACAGCACCGCACTGCGAGCGTCTCGCAGGATGGACCCCCGGGGCGAGAGGACCATTGGTGTCATTACAAAGATGGACCTTGTAGATGCTGAACGTGGTGCCAGTCTGCTCAGCGATCAAAAGTATGCTTTGCGTTTAGGATACGTCGGTGTTGTTTGCCGAGTGCCAGCCGGCGCTGGTGGTTCCAAGCTCTTCAGTCGCGGCAACGGCAACATTACGAACGCGATTACGAAGAACGAAAAGGCATACTTCGGCTCGCATCCCGAGTTCTCGGAAGGATCAGAGCTCGCCGTTGGCACTCAGAACCTTAAGAAGAAGCTCATGCACGTGCTCGAGCAGACAATGGCTGGCAGCCTCAAGACAACAAGCGAGGCTATCCAGAGGGAGCTCGAAGATGCACGTTACGAGTTCAAGGTTCAGTACAACGAGCGACCTATCAGCGCAGAGTCATACCTGGCAGAATCATTAGATGCTTTCAAGCACTCTTTCCGTGGTTTTACTGAGCAGTTCGGTCGCCAGCAAGTCCGCGATCTGCTGAAGCATGAGCTTGACCAGCAAGTGCTTAATTTGCTTGCACAACGCTACTGGAACAGGCCTTTCGATGATCTCAGCGTTCCCTTCCCCGAGACTGATCCTCTTACAAATTTGGCCAAAGCCGATATTGATGGGGAAGACCAAATTTGGCAAATCAAGCTCGATAGCTCGAGCGCTGCGCTCACCAAGGCCGGTGTTGGACGCCTGGCAACGAACGTTGTCGCAAGCGCACTCCAGGCACACATCGATCGCCTCATCACGAACTCTCGCTTCGCAGCTCATCCATTCGCCCGACAAGCCATCACTGATGCTTCAACCTCCATCCTTAAAGATCTTTCCTACGACATCTCTGATGAGTTGGAAATCTGCATCAAGCCCTACAAATATCGCATTGAAGTTGAGGACAATGAGTGGGCAAAGGGCCGGGAGAACGTCACTGCCGTGCTCAAGGATGAACTAAAGACTGTTGAAGCCGCCGTTAAGCAGCTCGAAGAACAGGTCGGTGGCCGCAAGAGGGTCCGGGACGTAATGTCATTTATCGATCGCGTACGCAGCGGACAAGTTGTCCTGGAAGGCGACGGAGTCGGTGGTGCTGGTGGCTTCAGCTCCGCACTTCTTGCCAAGGGTATGTCTATTTTATCTGTAGCAATAGCTTGTTTGTATTCGAAACTGACAAAATCACAGGTCGAGAAGCAGTCTTCCTCCGCGATCGTATCGACGTGCTCAAACTGCGCCTCATGGCTATCAAGAGCAAGCAATGCGCCACCAAGAAGAACAAATACCACTGCCCAGAAGTCTTCCTCGATGCTGTCGCTGATAAGCTCACGACGACTGCTGACCTTTTCCTCGACGCTGAGCTCTTAAGCAAGTTCTACTACATTGTAAGCAATAATCTTAGCCCTTGCTCACACAACCATTGTTAACGATATTATAGTTCCCACGTGAACTCGATGCCCGTCTAGGTCGCGGCCTCTCCCAAGAAGAAATCGACCGTTTCGCCAAGGAAGATCCCAAGATCAAGCGTCATCTTGATGTGGTGCGTCGCAAGGATCTCCTCGAACATGTGCTCAAGGAGATGGAGGGTCTGCGTCAACTAGAACAAAGAGAGAAGCGCATGATGGGACGCGGCCGAGATGACAGATATGAGAGGGATGAGCGAAGGAAGAAGGGCTGGAGTATGTTTTAGATGCCAGAAATGACGGAGTGGCGAGACTTCTTGCTGGGTATAGACTGTATGGCGCTATTGGCGTTGCTGTGAAGCGAAAAAAGCAGCTTCCTTGTTGATGTTGACGACTTCGCTACTCTGTTGGTTTTTGTTGGATACGTATATATGACTCCTTGATTACGCTCTCATCATTCGGTCAAATAAACACACACGTATGATTATCCGATGTATAAGAAAGATGGTATTGTTGTCTCATCTATCGGGTATCTTCAGCATATTCCATCAAGAGCTACGATGTTGCAAACATAAAAAGGATTCCCTTGTAACGCCGTACATGCCACATAAATCATGTCATCATCTCCACTCTCGTCCCATCTTCTTCTTTCACGACACTGTCAATCAAACAATCAAGCCCCAGTGTCGCTTGACACCCCAATCTAACCTTGTCATACCCTGCAGGTCATCTCCATTCAGATATCCGACACCCTCTTCAACAAGCAGCTTCCATACTCTGTTCCGAAGTCCAATCGGAAACTTGGGCGCGCTCCAGTACCTCGCCTGTAAGCCCCTCTCTTTTGCACTCTTGATTTGCGCTCGGATTTTGAGGACCTGGGCCTCCGTGATGCGACCGAACCACAACGTACCGATCGATTTACCAAAGTTGACAGAGGCGTAGTAGGAGTTCGTGCTGTCGAAGTGCGAGCTAGGGGTTGTGCCGACCGTACCTTGACCGCCGCGCTGGCCAACGGAAGTGCCTTCCTCGAGCTTGTCTAGAGGGGCGTCGAAGAAAATGTCGCGGTAGGTAGAGTTCGCAGTGATGAGATCAAAAGGCGCATTACCAGTTGCAACGACGGTGATGGCGCCCTCGATGGTGGTGTTTCCATCGAAGTAGGTCAGGTAGCCCTTCTCACGTAGCGCGGTGAGCTGCTGCGACACTACAGGGAAGATGTCATGGCCGTTGTTCTTAAAATCCACGAGCAGGACTAAGGTCTGTGCAGGCTCAGTGATGAACACGCCATTTTTGACGCTGGACGTGGTCGCAAAGTCTCCGAACTCGTTTCTGTGGTCCAGCATCTTTACCAGAGGATCGACATACATCGACGTGAAGGTGCCATCACGCGTCAAGGCGTTAGTGTTGTGACCGACGTACAGCTCCTCGTCGAATAGCCAGACATCGGCTTCTACGCCTGTGCAACCCCAACGTAGGGCGTCGTATAGCGGAACTCTGCGCCAGTAGTCATTATGCGAGTGGCATTGGACCGGAGTAACGTCGCGCGTGACGTCCAACAGATCCGACTTGTCGTGTTGGCTCCAGTCAAACGTAGAGACTATGTGATCATCCAAGAAGGTAGGCACATAGCCCAGGAACACATTAACAATGTGTAGGACACCACTAAGATAGTCAGCATACCGATGCTTCTTCCTGGAGAACATGACAGGATGACAGCTGCACAAATGCCGAGTGGCTGTCGAATGAGAGGCTGACAGGATATCTCGCACCGGAACCGGCGGAAGCTAATGTCTGACAGGCACTTACAAGAAGATGAGCACCAGCAGTGGTATTATAACACAGGCTCTAGCGGCATGTTTCTTCTTCAATCGATATTTCTTCGATTGCGTCTTTTCATCCGGTAGCCTCACACGCCCGAAATCCTCGTCAATCCCCGACTTCCCATTCCGCCTTCGAATGCTCATTTTTAGCCGTCGCCAGAACCCGGGCCGCGCACCTAACTCCTCATCATCGGAACCGAAGATCGAGATGTCACCATCTTCTAGCTGGCGCAAGGAGACATGTGATGATTTTGGATCGAAGGAAGCCTCCAAGTCGAGAGAGATACGTAGGAGAGGTTGAATGGTGGGGGAGATGGGTGTTTCGGCGGCCATTCTCAGGCACGAGCCAATTGCAGGCGGAGATTTGGCACGGCCGCGATCCTAGATCCTAAGAGGTGGGGCAAGTGCAAGCGATATCGATATGTGCGGTGCACTTGTTGTCAGAGGTTGCGACGGAAGGTTAAGACGTTCAAAGGTCTTCGCTGGAGTTTGCACCTCGAAACCAAGGCGCACGCTGCCTTAAGACACCTTCCTCTTCGACTGTCGCTCCCAGACGCCACGAGTTGTTGACTGGCGATCCAGACTGCCCAAGTGGCTATTGTCCCGTCCTCGAGTTCGGGGGAGGCTAGACTGGCGCGATGCACCTCCGCGGTTCAGTGCACAAAGTCGCGCAAACGCAGGGTCCAGTTTCTTGGGTGAACGTCTGCAAGTTCCAGATAATGCTTGGTAGAGGGAGTGAGACTTTGGAGCAGTCAAGATCAATTGGGATCCGACGCTATTTATTGCGAGACGAAGTGTGGCCGGCCAGTCCACCTGCGAAACGAGCTGCAAACCGCGAAGATAGAGTGCGGGCTATCGACATGCAAGCCTTTGAGACAGTCCCAGCGCCCAGCTGCGTTCGAGAACTGGTGCACGGCCTGGTGAGCGAGTTCGGGCACGCAACACAACCTGCGGCGATGATTGGCTGCAGGAGGAGGAGAGGCTAGCAAAGTAGCAGGTGAAGGTGGTAGCGGGTGATCAAAAAGGGCGATGATTCCAAAGAGCACGTTGTCGAACTTGCGCACTGAGTGGTGTATTTGAGTGAGTGACGGTGGACTGGTATCGATAGAGCCTTCCCACGTTGCACCTCCCTGGACGTGCGGTTGTCATGATATCGGTCCGAAGCAGTCTCAATGGGGCCCAAATATTGCCATTGTTGCGAAACACTGCGTCTGGTTTTCATAGCGTCGTCGTATTCCTAGAAGTGATAGTCTGCGTGTTGCGCGTCTCCTTCGGAGCTTATTGCGTTCCAGTTTCCACCATGGTGCGGCAATTTCGAGCACTCTAGTCGGAACCTGCGCCATAGTCTGTGGCTTGCACATGAGGCGGTAATCCGGACGTTTTAAGCAACGTCAAGCACCGGTTCGGTATGCTATGCCTCATCCTACAGCATCTCGCACAGCAACTCCACACGCAAAAATGGTGGGGTGAAGCCTGGTTCCACGTGCGCGCGGTGCCAAGATATCCGAGCCCCACCTCTCCGATTATCCCTGTCGCGTCTCCGTAACTTTTTTGCGACATCGACATCGACGCATCGCCGCTTGGATTCCCTGTCGCATGCGACACTACAGCCAATATCCATCATGCCTCACAAACACAGAGCCATAGAAAAGGACGATTCGCAGTACGTCACCACGTATTCTCGCAAGCCTAACCAAGCATGGACTGTAATCTGACCTATTGCCAACAGGTTCAATCTTCCGCCCGATGTTCACGCCGCTCCTCTCCCTGTCGGCAAAGCGCGCACCTTCAGCACAGCACCCAAAGGCAAGAAGCGCAAGGTGAACCAGATCGATGGATATGGCGCGGACGACACACCCAAAGCCTTCCAACGGCTCATGGCGTTCTCCAAGGGCGGAGCAAAGAAGCGCTCCGGTCTCGACGATGGCATGGTGAAGACCAAGAAACAGAAGAAACAAGAGGCAGCCGAAAACTTGGAAAAGGACGAAGCGAATAACAAGAGTGAGGAGCAGACCCAATCAAAGGATGTGCTGAAGATACAACCCGGAGAGTCAATGCAAGAGTTCCGCGCTCGAGTCGACGCAGCGTTGCCCTTGTCAGGTATAAACAAGAACGGCAAGAAGATTGCAGGTCTCAGCGATCACAGGGTTACCAAGCACGAGCGGCATCTCAAGCGTCTACAGAAGGGATGGAGGGAAGAAGAAGCCAGAATACGGGAAAAGGAGCAGGAGGCTAGGGAACTGGCTGAAGAGGAGCAAGACGAGCTGGATGCTATGTGGGAGGATAAGACAGCCGACATAGAAACTACAAGAACGGTGAACGGCAAGAAGAAGAAAGCAAAGAAGAACAAGCGCAAATTGCTAGCGGGTGAGGTAGACCATGGCAGCGAAGACGAGTGGGAAGCTCTTAAGAAGAAGAGAGAGGAACGCAAGGGCCTACACGATATTGTGCATGCGCCACCAACGTTTGACAAAGTACCGAGGGAGATTTTCAAGGTCAAGAACGGAGCGGGTGCCAAGGTTGGAAACGTGCCCAAATCAGCCGGTAGTTTGAGTAAGAGAGAGGCACTGGGCGAGGAGCGTCAAAAGATGATCGACACATATCGTCAGATGATGGCTGCGAAGAAAGAAACGCATGCTTAGTTGGTGCATTTCGGTTGAGCTCGAGATACCCTAGATACGTAAATGAACCACGTCATGCTTTGGATATCGAATATCTCCCCTAACCAGCAAACATCATTTTCTCCACCACTTTCACGCCAAACATCTGAGGCTTGATGCTTTGGCGTCCTCCTACACAGGCAAATCAGTAGCTTTGTTGGTCGTAGCAACTCTCGATTCACTATGCCTCCTACCCCTACCTGCAAGTACAGCTGTGTTTCTTCACCAAACACTAACCAACTCTTTGCTTGAACCTTACCATGATCGAGAGCATGCTTGTCTTGAAACCCCTAATGTGGTAATGCAAAAAGCCAATCATCGATTGCAGCAAATTGTGAAAATATTTTGTTACAATCACAGAGTGTATTTCCTGTTCTAGCAATACCAGGAAATCCATTAGGAGCGACTCTTCGAATGCTACAAGAAACATTGACATTGCCTATTACGGTAGGTCTGAATATCCGTAGAACACGGCGAGCAGTGAAAGCAATGGTGTCGTGGATAGCACAGCGGTATCTCGCTGGAACCCAATCGGGTAGGTTGTACACAGCCGTCGAATGCAGCAATTTGCTTGACAGCTGATTTTCGCGAACCCTGAGTGGCTAGGCTGGGCGGGCATCTCACGTGATATCACACTTCCCATTGTGGTAGGTGATGTGAAAGCCGTGGATGATGGCAGATTTTGCAAAAGCAAAAAGTCGCGAAGCCAAGGATCAGGAAGTGAAAGTGGGGCGACATGTGACAGTACCCGGCAGCAGACTTCGCTTGGCTCTTAGTCGCGCCTTTCCACGCCACGCATTTTCACGTGGAATCTATCTCAAATAATAGGGACTGAATCTACTTGGACAAGAGATTGGTACTCGTAAATACCTCAGCATGACGCGACCCAATAAGCTAACATGCGTAATGAAGTTTGAGTATTATAGCTGATCGACAGCAACACGCAATCAGAGAATCTACGCTTGTGTGTTCTGGTTCCTAATATTCCGCTACCAAATATGTTTCTTGTAACCAACGTACAACGTCTTCCACTGTTCAGTCACTATTGTTAACTCGCGAAAGTGTTATCCTCCATGATAGTTTTTCGTGACAATGGTCCCAATATGCTAGGTGAGTTCGAGACGCATGCACATCCGTCCGAAACAGCAGTGCCTACAACAAAGGTTTCTGTGAACGCGACAGGATGATGTGACGAAGGCGCAGCGAGGAAGCGATCCATGGGATCCATATTTGCGAGTGTGTTTGGCGTGGCCTTTAGTTGAAGTATCGAATGATGGTAGGAGCATGATAATACAGGTGGGCGATTCGGTGTAGTATGTGCTGAACAGTTAGCATCAACGTGTCCTTGATTGATAGAGAAGGCATACCATTGTTAACGGCAACTGCAACAGGACCTAGTCGGTTGATCTTGGTCGAGCGCCGTGGAGCTCGAGTCATAATTCGTGATAGATAATGTGGCGGTGTCTTAATTGATGGAAGCTTTAAGAAGTTCGCAGTGAGGCAGTATTATCACAATAGTGGAGAACTGCATGCAATTGGGGTGGTGTTGTTGTTGTGACGGATAAAGGTAGTCTCAGGATGACACTCGATCTACGAGGCGATTGATATACATAACAGCATGCGGAAACGTGGGGTTGCAAAAGCTGCGAAGCAAGCCACGATCGGCGGTTTAGAAGTAGTAAACTAGTCAATGCTTAAGCAGTGCGCCTTGATAGCAAGCTGTTGTGGTGGGAAGCTCGCATGGCCAGTGAGGAAGCGGTATCTGATATCACGACGTTGAGAAGCCAATGGGGTCCAAGTAAGCAGACGACGAGGAAGCGTAAAACCATCAAGTGAAGGTAATGTGGCCGCGGCCTCTCGTTGGTCGTGTTGGCTGAGAAGTGAACGGTGGACAAGAGAATCGAACCTCGTTCCAACTGGATTTGAAGGATATCTGGGGCGACGGCCAATTCGTAATGGTATCCAAAGGCGGTCATACCAGCACTTTCCACTTAAGGAATAGGCTGACATGGCGACAACCATGTAACCATGGTGTTTTCCAAATTTGGCATCCCATCTTTTCGAAGCGTGCGCACTTGAGACTGCTACACTAAGTGGGCAAGGCTCAATGATCGACGCTGGGTTGTTTGATTTCAGGCCCCCTCTTCAGAACGGCGTGGCTTGACCGATAACTTCTCCTGCTTGGTTTCCTTAGACGCTTGGCCCGCGTGATATCGACGCACGGGCATGATGATATAACCCAGCTCTTTGGTCCAGCACCAGCAGCATGGCTCATCCGGCGACGTTTGGGGTATCCCACGTGGGTTGTATGCTCATTCTCGCCCGGGAAAGAGTAGCAATCCCGAGTAGAGGTCTGTTTGTAGTTCCCAAGAACTCTCGTAGGGGGTTTCAATCATGTTTTAGAAATTTGAGTCTTGCGAGAAGTCCTTGTGATCTTGGCCTCGCGGCTGTCAGTAGTAGGCGAAAAAACTTACTGTCAAGTCGACTCTTACGTGACGAAACTTGCAAAATCTGGAAGCTCGACCAGAAATGAGCACAGAAAAGGAGAGCTGGTAAGCCAAACCTGTATTGCGCCTTACCAGGGGCAGGAGTGTGATGTTGCAAGTGATGCACGCATTCTGTAAAAGGCTAGACTTGGGCGCTCTTCAGCCTTTCGGCGTCGATGCTTGTGACACTACAATAGTAACAAAGAGACTATTATTGGCAGCGTTGAAGATCCACCGCAATGCACAATCGCTACACGAGGTATGTTCCGCGATGGCGGGTACGGTACGAGAACAGTGTCTCGTTGTATGTGGGGGGTTATGACGATGCTCCTGATCAGAGCTCGCGTGCGTACGGGTCTCCACAAACGGTAACCGTCCTGGAGAAGCGGATACCCCACAAGCGTTGCGTGGGGGCACAGGTCAACGTTGATTACATTGTGTCGCTACATTGGCAACTCAATGTGCGTGCTGCCTGCCAAATTGTAGCTGGCAAATAGATAACGCAGGAATTATTTGGCCGTGTAAACGTAATGAAAAAGATAGGGGGCGCGTGATAGGAATAGAGGATATGATTCCAGCGAAGGAATCGGCGAGTGTTCGACGAAGGAGCGGCCAAAAGGTGTGCAGAAGGCTGACCCTAAGGTTTCAGCCCCAAATCCTTGTGATGGGTGTCAGCCTAGAGTATTTTAGCCGGAATTTACATCAGTCAGGTACGCGCTAGGGACAGATATCTGATTATAGAATGAGCCCGATGGCAACCAGCGGCCGCACATAGCTGTTGAGTAGGGTTGGAGTAATGGATGGAAACCTGCTGCGATTGCTAACACAGACCAGCCGGCGGCGGCGGAAGCGATAAGTGATGCTACAATCACATGCTGACAAGTGTGCGTGGAGACATGACGGGTGGAAATGATCTTAGATAACTGTTGTCGGTGATGGTGCAGTACAGGCGTACAGGCTCTAGAAGCAGGGAAGACATATAGCGATTTCCCGCGGTCTCACGCACTTAGCCAACCGCTCAGGCATTTGCGGCACAGTTTAGAGCACTGGTGTGGAGTCAGGATTTGTCGAATACAGATAATAAGTCTGCGACGTTAGCAATGCACGTGTGGCATATGTCAATGGCTGATGACAGATGTGCGGCACGACGCACAATACCTCGTCAACCATACAGTCGTACCCAAGAGCCTCAACGTCGCGCAGAAGCATGGTGAGACAAAAGGTTCGCATGTGTCGATGTGCAGCTTTGGATTGTTAGAGACTTGTCAACGTCTAGGTGTGTCCTCCCGACTGCCATCGCTATCGATATCGTCATTAGTGAGCCCGAAGGGGAAAGGTCGAGCGCGTCACTGCCATCGCCGCGGCTTTAACATATCCAGCTCCGCAACTCACCACTTCCGGGTCTTTCCCCACGTCCGCCCAATGTCAGCCAATCCAGGTGCACTCAAACGGAAGCACTCGGGCAAGACCATCAAGGAGCTCTTCACCACACAAACCAAGCCGAAGCTCGCCCCTGCAGCGCCGCTATCGCCCTCCAGCAAACGCACACGACGAGACAGCTCTCCGATAGCTAGCACCGAGGTCGCCACACCTCCAGCCCCGATGGCCAAGATGAGCACAGCCGACATGTATCATTTCCCGAGCAAGAAGGCGGGCGTATCGAGCAACGCCGATGTTGTTGACATCACGTCAAGCCCCGACAACAGTCCTGCCAAAGCAAACGGCCAGCGAAATGGCATGCGCAAAGCAGCGCCCAATATGCACGCCAACAGCGGCCCCAAGCGATTGGTCGTCAAGAACTTCAAGCCCACAAGGAGAGTAGACCCCAGGGTGTTCCTGGATCAAACATGGCAGAAGATCGACAAGGCCCTGGATACTATCTTCCGCCAAGGCGATGTCGACTTCAGCCTCGAAGAGCTGTACAGAGGTGTAGAGAATGTCTGTCGGCAAAATATGGCAAAGGACATCAAGGAGCGTTTGATCACAAAATGCAAGGACTACGTGGGCGGAAGTCTGAAGGCAAAGGTCAAGGAGAGTCTGGGCAGGCCAAACGTTGACATACTACGAGCGGCATTGCATGCCTGGGGGATTTGGAACAGTCAAATGGTCAGTCAAGTTCATGCTGAGGAGGACGCTGGCATACTGACAAAGTATAGAAATACCTCGATTGGATCTTTTGCTATCTCGACCGCGCCTACCTGCTCCCACGACATGAGTCTCTCCGCGAAATCTCGATAAACCTCTTCCGCTCCGTCATCTTCGAACACGCAAAACTAAATTCCCGCATTGTGGATGGCGCTTGCGATCTCGTCACTGCTGACCGAACGGGTCGAGACCTTGACAGCGAGATGTTCTCCAAGACGGTCAACATGTTCCACGACATGCAAGTCTACACACATGCTTTCGAGCCGCGCTTAATGGAGGTCAGCCAGGAGTACGTGTTCAAATGGGCTGATGCGGAGAGTACTGAAAAATCGTTACCCGAGTACGTCCGCAGTGCAAGAGCGCTGATGGATCGTGAGATGAAGAGAGTCGACATGTTCAGCCTTCCCAACACTACTAAGCGAGAGCTTCTCACATTACTAGAGGACCATTTGATATCGAACAAGGAGACCCGATTAACTAACCAAGACGAGCTTGCCGATCTCCTTGAGACCAACGCCGTCGAAGATCTCGAGCTACTGTACTCATTACTTGAACGTAGGAAGCTGGGCGCAAAGTTGCGACCAGGTTTCACCAAGTGGATCGAGGACGAAGGCACAGCTATTGTATTCAACGATAAAGAGCAAGAAAACATGATCATACAATTACTTACGCTGAAGCGTCAACTAGACACCCTATGGAAGGCTTCTTTCCACCGAGACGAGGAGCTGGGCCATGGTCTTCGAGAGTCATTCGACAAATTCATGAACAAGACAAAGAAGACGTCTGCAAGCTGGGGCACAGATAACTCAAAGACAGGCGAGATGATTGCCAAGTATGTCGACATGCTGCTGAGGGGGGGTGCAAAAGCAATACCAGCTCAGCTGAGTCGTAAGGCCGACAAGCCCGCTGCTGTAGAGGTCGAGGAAGATAATGAAGAAGGTGTTTTTGATGAAGATACAGAAGTCAACAATCAGCTTGATCAAGTTCTCGATCTGTTCCGCTTCTTGCACGGCAAGGCTGTGTTCGAAGCTTTCTACAAGAAAGACTTGGCTAGACGGCTCTTGATGGGCAGAAGTGCGAGCGCAGACGCTGAGAGAAGTATGCTGTCGAGGTTGAAGATCGGTATGTATCCATGCAATGGTTATCTGCTGAGATACTAACATCCTACAGAATGCGGTGCTGGCTTTACTGCCAACCTCGAGCAAATGTTCCGCGACATCGAACTCTCGCGAGAAGAGATGAGTTCGTACAAGAATATTAGCGAGGAGCGCAACGAGAAGCTCAGTCTCGACCTTAATGTCAACGTCCTCTCTGCGTCAGCTTGGCCTACGTACCCCACCGTCCCTGTAATTTTGCCCCCAGAAATTCAGTCTGCGATCAACAAGTTTGAAGCACACTACAAGATCAAGCATTCTGGTCGTAAGCTGGAGTTCAAACACGCACTTGCCCATTGTCAAATCAAAGCCAGGTTTCCCAAGGGACTCAAGGAGTTGGTTGTGTCCTCCTTCCAGGCTATCGTCCTCTTACTGTTCAATGGCCGTAAAGAGGATGAGCACATCGACTACGACTACCTCAAGCAAGCCACTGGACTGCGTAAGTCATGCGATCGATTCAACTTATTAGTATTACTAACACCTGACAGCAACGGCCGAGCTTAACCGCACTCTGCAGTCCCTCGCGTGCGCAAAGGTCCGGCCTCTAACCAAGCACCCCAAGGGTCGAGAGATCAACGAAACCGACACTTTCACACTCAACGCCTCATTCACGGATCCTAAGTACCGCATCAAGGTCAACACCGTTCAACTCAAGGAAACGGCAGCCGAGAACAAGGAGACACACGAACGCGTTGCTGCTGACCGTAACTACGAGACACAAGCTGCCATTGTCAGGATCCTCAAGGCGAGGAAAAGAATCAGCCATGCCGAACTGGTCAGTGAGACCATATCGGCAACCAAGAACAGGGGAACACTGGAAGTCAGCGGCATCAAGAGGAACATCGATCGCTTGATCGAGAAGGAATTTTTGGAAAGAGAGGACGACGGATTGTATGCTTATATCGCTTAAGCTCTTTATATTGCCAGCGGCTTTGGATCTCAAGATATGCGAGGCATCTTTGTATAAACAGGAATTCAGTGTACAATACCGCTGTTGTTATCGGGGCTCGCATTCGACCACGAATATATCACGATCTTATCTTTATGCACACCTTGCTCACTCGAAGCATGTTGGGTGAGTTGCGTGGTCATTAGTACTAGAGAACAGTCAAGACCGCAACCAGCGCACTGAGTCCAGCAATCGACTTTCCCTCGATAGCTAGCGGCCGGCTTCGCTCTACTCACCACCTTCTATCCGCCCTTACCGTCGTTGTAGTCGATCTCCTAGTCTATCCCTCCCACACCCAATGCCCAGGCCCACCTTCCAGATTCAGCACTAGTTGCCGAGTTTCCCTGTCGATCCCTAGCCGCACTCAGCCTATCGTACACCCACATGTGCCCGACCACGAGATTTCCGGCGATAAGCAGCTTGAAACACATCATCTTAGTCCCGGGAGATAACCGGCGAATGGTTGTCCGTACCTTCCTGATCTGCGGAAGTCGCATGTCTTGGAGCATGGGATGGCGCGAGGGATGTCGACGGTCCGGTCATATTGGTAGCGGCTCTTCATGCAAGATGTTACTATCAGGACGAATGAGAATGAGCAACGTGAGAGGGTGGTTGATGTATGGAAGGACCGAGGGTCTATGCTTAGTATGGTGTCGTAAGTGCCACGCCGGAAGTGGTAGTCTGTGATAGGCCGTTGTACCCCAGCTTAAGAGACGCCCATTGCCCGTTGTCGCGGAGCAACTGTTCCTTTCGGAAGGATGCCAACGACGTCTGCGTCCGGAGTTAATTAATTTCGAGTTATGATCTTCCTTTTTAGGGTCGTGATGGTTCGGAGGCGACCGCTGGACTACCACTGGACTACTTTTGTGACAAGCAGAATGAGGGTATAAAGGTAACATCTTGTACCATTCATTTGAAAGGCAGGTCCAACAGCCCCCGTCGATCCCTCGTTACACAGCTTCAGACAAGACACTCGCTCGTCGTCTCATTCTCTCCACCCGCCACCATGAAGTTCCTCATTAACGCCCTCCTCTTGATCGCGCCCGTCGCCCTCGCTCTCCCTACTTCAGCACCCACTGAGGAGGCAGTTGAGATTGCCGCCGTCGAGGCCAGACAATCTTGCTACGTCCGTTGCGGCTCAACATGCTACACCTCCGCCCAAGTTACTACCGCACGCAACGCGGGTTACAACTACTACCGTCAAGGTGATGAGGCTGGTAGCTCCACCTACCCACACACGTACAACAACTATGAGGGCTTTGACTTCCTCGTTTCTGGACCCTACCAAGAGTTCCCGCTGAGGACTTCTGGTGCTTACACTGGTGGTAAGTTGGTCATCAAGTTTATCACATAACATATGCTGACCATATCTTCAGGCTCTCCAGGTGCTGACCGCGTTATCTTCAACACTGCTGGACAGCGTGCGGGAGAGATCACTCACACTGGTGCAAGTGGCAACGCCTTCGTTGCTTGCTCTGGGTGGTAGATGTGTTTTTGAAACATCTCAATAGGGATTTCGAAATGAATTGTGGTGAAGCCCATGGGCGAAGGGCTCGCCATGGCTTCAATATGCTGTCGGTGGGCGAGTTGTAACGAGAGATCGATGTGTCCTACGAGACTCTCCATCCCAGAGTGAAATTTGTGGTCATGGAAGTAGTTTGTTCATGTATATATTTATGAAACGTTTGAACAAGTCTTGCGGTTTCTTCCAGCACAGTGATCAGTCGAAGTCGGAACGCCTGGAACAGAAGATTTGCCCAGATGGTGTCTTTTCACGTGGTAGTACGTATCAAAATCACGCCATCTCAATTTCGTACTATCTTGGTAGCAAGCGATTCTACATGATCCGCCGTCTTCCTATCAAAGAAGACGCGTGAGATGCGTGAAACCCGCAATTCATCTACAACTATATCATTCCTTTATAATGTAACGCAGCCAAATGAAACTACGCACTGTTACCAAGATGAATCCTCCAGTGGATGTAAGGACCTACCAGACATAAGTTTTCGGGAGCATTACGGTCAACTACGTGGGCAATTCTAAATGTAAAGGTAAGCACCTGCAGGATTTTTGACTTACACCCAGACGCAGTAAAGGCTGAGTCAGGTATCTTGCCATCATGCTGACACATGCGCAGTCAAAACGTTCTCAGGTCTGCAGTGCACAAAAGATCTTACCTCCTACAAGTTCATACTGGGCAGCACCCCATGTCAACCTGTTACTGGAAAAGTGAGCCACAAAATCACCTGCTAGACTCTCGCTTTCGTTGTATCAGTGGGGGATGGTAATAGAAAAAGAGTAGATAGAGCTGGCAACGACGTGGGAACATGGACAGTCATTACTGCTTCTTTGGTAGTACTCTGCTTGACCCGCTGAATGAGTTGGATTCAGTATGTCTTGCTGTCTGTTCAACACGAGATAGAGGCGTACCTTAAACAATCAGATCAACTTTATCAAACGCGTTTACAATGAGCTGGATGGCCAGACATTTGCTAGACAACGTTACTCAAATGATGACTCGTGAGGAAAGATGCGTAGATTTGAGGAAGACGAAGTCGTGAGCGTTCGAGTAAGATAGCCAGAACCGACTACTTTCGTCTTTATGTCCTCCTATCCTTTGCTTCGCTTAAACCTTTCGAAAGTCGAAGCTCCGGCGGCCACAGGGTCAGACGCGGAGCCATCTCTCTCCTAAAAATGCAGCCACAGATTATACACGACTTCTCATGGCCAGATGCAATACTCACGCACTCCTCCTCCATGCATCAGCCAAGTTTGCTCCACCAGCAACCATGCCACAAGCCCCAACACCCCAGTCACTCAACAGTCCTTTTTCCATCGACCAGTGGACAGTCATGGGCGCATATGCCAGGTTGGATGCGAGGTCTTTCCACCAAAGCCAGTTCTCCAGTTTCTGCGCTCTCATCCGCTCTTCCGCCTGGATCTTATCCTCTTTCTCCCCGTCACCCTGACTCGCTAGTATTGATGGCGATGACGAAGAGTAATACCGTTGGACACCCAGACGCACAAGCTCAACGCCGACATATGCGGCCCAGAACCTCGAACTCCACAGCCACCATGTGTTCTCTCGTGCTTTACCCACATCTCCCGTCCAGCTCGCTGTCGTCAAAGCTCCTTTTGAGCTAAGATATGCGCCGTTTTCTAGGACTTGGAAACCAACACACGATGTTATAGCCGACCACGTCAACACCCTCAGTATCTTCTCTTTCCTGCTGGCACCTTGTGGTAATGGGTCCCGATAGGTGTCTCGGGCCCAGGTATACAGTCCCAGCACTCCCCACAGCCTCACAAATATCCTGAAGTCTGATATAACATCGGAAAGAGCTTTCGAACTTCCGACGACCTGGGCGATGACTTTTGTGCTGGTGGGTGCTGGGAGGGTGGCTATAAGAGTTTCGCCAGGGAGCAAGACACCCTCTGCTTTCTCGGCTATCTCTGTGGCTATAGACGCGAGACGTCGTTCAAGGACGCGGGAGAGGATGGCATGTACGAGAGTCAAGGTATAGGATGTTGTGCAGAGAAGGACGTCGGTGCCGTTTGGGGTAGAGAGGAGTTTTGCGAGGCGGACGAGCGTGCGGTCTGTGGTGCCGGCGGTCTTGGCGAGGTATTTTAGGAGAAGAAACTGCAATCTTCGCAGGAATGTAGGCTGTGAGGGTGGTGAGGGTGAAGGTATCGCATCGGGTTGTGGAGTCGGTTGGCTCGCAGCGGTGGAGGCAGGAATTGTGGTGGTATTTGGGTGTGGGTCTTCCATTTTAAGGATATAAATGTGTGGTAAGACACTTAGAGGAGGCTTGGAAGCGTGTGGGAAGGACAGTCGGTGCTATCGAGGCTGCATGGTGTTGGTATTGAGCTGTAGAAAATAAGTCACACACGCGTTTGGCCGAGGTGTGCTCGGGAAATGCTTATCGCGTCATCGGCCCGCACGTGGGTCTCACGCTGTCAACCCGTCCTCACATGCAGCATGTGATGATAGACCCTGAGAAATCAACACTCGCTTCAAATTATCCATTGCGTCTCGTGGACAGCCTTAGCGCATCTGTGCTGGACACCAGAAGCTATGCGCGCCGACGCATGCCATCGTTTGAGTTTCGTATAGAAAGCTTCGACTCGGTCCACGGCGCGCATCCCTGCCATCTTTACGTCTTCCCCATATCGTCCCCACACTTACCGCCTCACCTCTATCGTGGGGAGATACGAGAGCGGGCTCTCTTTTCACCTATATCAATTCGTCCTGAGCGCGCAAAACACTGTTTCTCTAGCTCCCAGCTTCAAGCCGACACCATCAACCATGTCGTCGCCTACCCTCCCTACGCGCCGACCCACTTACCCTCTCGCTCATGCTTTCCGCCGTAAACCTCGACGTCTGCCTCTCGTTCTCCGCTTCTCGAAGGGCGCTATACACAACATAATCTTAATGCCAGTACTGCTTCATTCGCTCTTCACCGCCTTGATCGTCTACATCGACACGCGCTATGTAGACAGCATATCCATCCCTGCTACCATTATACCGTCGCTCTCCATCGTGGTTGGTCTAATGCTGGTCTTCAGAAACAGCACAGGCTACGACCGATTCTGGACCGGAAGAAACTGCCTCACGACAATCGGAACCTCCGTACGAAACCTTGCTCGAATCTGTCTGGTGAACTCGCGAGACAAAGACGGACATTCCACAGAAGAGGAGAGGAGAGACACAGAGAAGATAGTACGGGTCCTCGTAGCAGTTCTCTACTCCATCAAGCACAACCTGCGCGCAGAATTCAATATCCCACCTGCGAGTCTCGCTTCTTTGCCTCCACAACCAAGCGTCTACCCGCAACGCTCCCGCCCCGTATCCAGGCGCCCCAGCTACATCGACCGCACAGGTTCCAATTTCGGCACGGTTTCGTTCCCGCCTACTCTCGTAAACAGCACAAGTACCACACCTCTGCTCGGGTCATCCACCGCCACGCTAGAAAACGGCGATGGTACGACCCCCATGAAGAAAGATGAATATGTATCACTCCTTCCAGAAGGCCTGATGGGCTACGAAGACCAAGGTCTCGGTTTACCCTTACAACTTACAATCCTCTTGGAAGGTTACATCCGCCGAGGCCACGACAGAGGCTGGTTCCACGCGCCCCTCTCCTCTCAAATGACCGTTCAGCTGAACACTCTTGTCTCCGCGTATGGCACCATGGAAACTATTCACAGCACGCCCATTCCCGTCGCGCATCTAATCCACCAAAAGCAGGTCCTGGCACTCTATGCTTGTGTTCTGCCGTTTGCCATTGTAGATGACTACAGGTGGTGGAGTGTACCTATTGTGGCTATCATCGCCTTCACACTCTACGGTATTGAGGGAATTGGCGTGCAACTGGAGGATCCATTTGGATATGATAAGAATGACATCAAGATGGACGGCATCATCGAAGATACGAGACAGGAGGTTATGGTGCTGTTGGAGGAGTGGAGGGCGAGCCATGAGGGGAGGGCTATGGGGGGTATGTTCGAGTGTGAGTGATGATATGATGACTGGGAATATTGGAACAGGTAATGTGTGATGTTAAGACGTTGAACCCATGTGTACATACGTAATGATCGTTATTGGCCTTTTGTGAGTTATGATCTGCAGTCTTATAGCGTAGATACCCAATAGCACAACTACCAGAAGATTGCATGTTTCACGCGGACACGGACAGAGACACAGATGTTTAGTTGACTTTGGTACAATACATTAGTTACCGGTCTTCCACCACCTGTATATCTTGCTTACTCTTGAAGTATATCGCATTGCAACATGATCCACCATTCCATCATAACATTCGCTTTGATCACGCCAGAACTCCCGAAAAGATGCAAAAAGACCCCGAAACGAGGGAATAAGAGAAAGAGTTGGTCAAGGCACCTCGCCCACTTAGCGATTGACTAGTCGAAGCGTACAGGAGGTAGAGTCGGTGCACCGTTATTGCTTCGCGCTCCACTGCTATCGGAGTCGGACGGAGATGTGTCGCGCATTCGACTGCCCGCTGCACGTCCAGCGCTACCATCGAGAACAAACGGCCCAGCATCATTCCTTGGAGTCATGGGACCATCCTGTACGCGATCAGGCGTTAGGCCACTGCCGTGAGGAGGATGCAGAGGCGACAGTCCCATATAGTCGTTCGCTCCATTGACGTTGATAGAGACCGGTTGTGTGACGGACGATGTTGGAGGTGTAAGCTGGCGATCGGGAGTCTCCAATGCCGATTGGTTCTCAATGTTTGTGATTTGGTGATGTAGATCCGTAAGATCAACACCGCCATCAGAATCGGCACCGTTGAGAGGGGCAACAGAGGCACGAGGTGTGACGTGGCGGTCTCCCTGCTCTGCGCTGGCATCAGGAATTGTGGCACCATTGACTACTTCCTCATCGCCTTCCCAGTCTTCGAACTCGCCCATATCTTCTACGTCTTCTTCAAGGTCCGCTACCGCCCTACAGTTCGGGCAGAGGAAGTTGGGCCAAGTGGGACCGTTTAAGATGGGACGAATGCACTTGTAGTGCCAGACGTGGGAGCAGGGTGCTACGAATAGCGACTGACAAGGCTGTATACTGATCAGTACAAGTCGGCTGTGAAATCAGGCAAGACCTACCGCTATTGACATCAAACAGATGGCACACTCGGACGTATGCGTAGATGAAGCATCTCCTGTGACTTCCTTCTTGCTCTTGGCAAGTGCTCGTAGTCGCTGATGGGTTTGTTTACTGTGAGAGTCAGTGGCAAGCTTATAGCACGAGTAGACAAGCTTACTTGAATGTGTTCAGCCCCTGTTGCCAGCCACGATTGCACTCAACACGAATCTTGACACATCTGAAGATCATCTCCTCTCCCCCACGGAAATCGATGCCCAGTTGGATGATATCGCCATCCTTTATCCGGAATGGTTTTGACTCGACGTTGGGCTGACTTAGACGAATGTGATTCAAAAAGGTGCCCGATGAGCTCTTGACGTCCTTGATATACCAGCTTCCGTCCTTGCACCACAGTTCGCAGTGCTTCCGACTGACGACCTTGGACTTGAATCCGATGGCGGCAGCCGATGGGGCGTTGGTCTGGACTTCGGGTATGTTGTCGCGCTCCGAATACCTTCCTACGCGAAGGATTGCACTCTCGTCGGGCAGCGTACGGTTGATGGTGGGGAAGATCAACGAAGGTCTTCCGGCTCGGGGATCCTGGTGCGGGATAAAGCGAATCGACGGCAGGTGCTTGGCCGCGCCTGTGCTATCGGAGGCGCCTTCCATTGGTTGTGCGCTGTTGGGTCCTGGCGTTGAGGTCGGCGTTGGCCCCGTGTTGTTGCGCACCTGGAGCTGAGGTTGGGCCGTCTCTGAACGGGTTCTCGTCATGGTCGGTTTCGGAGAGGCGGGTGGGGAGTCGGTCGGCGGCAGTTGACTGTCGGCTGTCTGGCTCCTCGATAGCAACTCTCGACGGGGGACAGTGGGGTGGGAGGACGAGGAGGCAAAGGCAGGCGAGGCAGGTGGAGTGTGTGTTGAGGCGCGTGGTCGTGTTCCCGTTCGGGAATCCTCACGTGGAGGGTCGCCTTGGCTGTTTGAGTGCAGGTGTAGATTGCGCAGGAAGCTGATGCCTCTGTGAACGCCCGTGGGCCGTGGGGAGGTGGAATTGGGGGATACAGCAGTCGCAGTTGGGAGAACTGGCGTGGTTGTTGTGGTGAACATCGCCTAGCGGCGCAGGGCGAGGGTATAAGCGTTCAGCTGGGGTATGGTATGCGGGAAAGTGTGAATGCGCGAGTTTCGACAGCGTTTGACAGACGACACGGGAAACCCGTTTACAAGAGCTCACACGGGTGGGTGTGTGAGGCACTGAGGCACTGAGGCAAATGCAGCAAATGCAAATGCAATGCAAATGGCGCACGAACGGGGCCAGGGCCGGGGGGCCAAGCAACCAGAACGAGCTCTGTGAGGAGTAAGCCACCTCTAGACTTGCGATGGGGTCTTCCAAGACCGCGGGCCGTTAACGTATACGGGTAATAGGGTTCTAGAGTCGCGATAATGAAGTCATGTCTTGTTGGGCCTCTCGACCAAGATTCAAAGGTCATGTGGAACGGTCCGGTTTGATACCTACCCTCGGACAAGGCCGTCGACAGCTGCCAGAGATCCATGACATGATGGCCCACCGCACTCTCCTAACCCCCATGTCTGCATCACCACCGCAGTCGTCGTACTAAATATAGTTCCCCACAGATATATCAAAGCATTGAAACCAACATGACAGTTCAGAGCTCATGCTGATGCGCTCATGCGCTGATCGCGGGGTGGGGCCGCTCTTGTTCCCGACCTCGTGGGAACGCCCACGTGACGCAATATTATGTCAGGGCCATGATTGCCAATGGAATTTTTCCGAACGCCGTCACGGCAGCATACACCACCAGAAATGTTAAGACCACACACGTACCGACCATTGTCCCGGGGACTGTCCAAGACGTCTGCGTCGCTCACACGATCAGCAGCATGCGCAGGTAGAAGGAATCTCGCCACGGCAGTTGCAGAAGAGAGGGTTAGCACTGAGTTCACGTAGCACGCCGAAGCCTTTCTAAACTGCCATCCAGGACCCCACCGAACTCGACCAGATCACCACCCTCCCCAATGGCATCCGCGTCGCTACCGAAGCCCTGCCGGGCCACTTCTCGGGTATCGGAGTCTATGTCGACGCCGGCTCACGATATGAGAACGATGCACTGCGCGGAGTCAGTCACATCATCGACCGTCTCGCCTTCAAGTCCACACGCTCCACCACCGGCGACCAGATGATGGAGAAGATAGAAACACTGGGCGGCAACATACAGTGCGCCTCCAGCCGAGAGTCGCTCATGTACCAGTCTGCCACCTTCAACTCCGCCGTGCCCACCACCGTCGGTGTCCTTGCAGAAACAATCCGCGATCCACTAGTCACCGAAGAGGAGATACAGCAACAGCTTGAGACAGCTGACTATGAGATTGGCGAGATCTGGAGCAAGCCAGAATTAATCCTGCCCGAACTAGTACACATGGCAGCTTTCAAAGACAACACTCTAGGCAACCCACTGCTATGTCCCAAGGAGCGCCTACCATTCATCAACCGCGCCGTCGTTGAGGCATACCGAAAGGAGTTCTACAAGCCCGACAGGATAGTGGTAGCCTTTGCTGGCGTAAACCACAACGAAGCCGTCCGCTTGACAGAACAATACTTTGGCGACATGGAGAAGGGCACCGGTCCATCGCTCATCGGTCTAGAATCAGAAAGCACAGCTTCCAACTCTGCACCCCAACAACAGGTCTTCACAGCCGACCACCCCACACCCACCGGCGCACCGCCGCAATCCTCGAAACTCCTTTCCAAGATACCCTTCTTCAAGAACATCTCCACATCCGCTACTTCCAACGCTTCCGTCAATACATCACTCGACTTGAACTTCCCACCGATCGACACATCACTACCGTCGCAATATACCGGTGGCTTCCTCACCTTACCTCCGATACCGCCACCGGCAAACCCTATGCTCCCCCGCCTATCGCACATCCACCTCGCCTTCGAAGCCCTCCCCATCTCATCGCCCGACATCTACGCCCTCGCAACTCTGCAAACACTCCTCGGTGGAGGCGGTTCCTTCAGTGCAGGTGGGCCTGGAAAGGGAATGTACTCGCGGTTATACACCAACGTACTAAATCAGCACGGATGGGTAGAATCTTGCGTTGCATTCAACCACAGTTACACCGATAGCGGCCTCTTTGGCATCGCGTCATCATGCGCCCCCTCGCACGTCGCCCAAATGCTCGAGGTCATGTGCCGCGAACTCAAATCGCTAGGAGACGAAACCGGATACGCCGCGCTCAACGAGGTTGAAGTCCAGCGCGCAAAGAACCAACTCCGCTCCTCGCTCCTCATGAACCTCGAAAGCCGAATGGTAGAACTAGAAGATCTCGGCAGACAAGTCCAGGTTCACGGCCGTAAAGTCGGCGTCAAGGAAATGTGCAAAAAGATCGAAGACGTTTCCGTCAAAGACCTGAGGAGAGTAGCTCGTCACGTCTTTGGTGGACAAGTCAAGAATGTTGGAGGTGGATCTGGAGCCCCGACTGTTGTGCTGCAAGAGGGTGAACAGGAAGGCCTCAAAAGGAAGGAGTTTACCTGGGATGATATTCAGACCCGCATCGCTAGGTGGAAGCTTGGTCGCAGATAGGAAATTGCAACCCCTCTGAGCCGTTCGCTGGTGACGTGATTGTAAATGTAGCTTATGTATTATAGGGCTGGGAAAGAAATGATGAAATATCATGATTATGTATTAGTGGACCAAAGATAAGTGTCCGTAGCGTACGAGCCCCTTACTCAAGATACTCCATTACCATGTCCGGGAAGAGCTCCCCATTTCAGCTAAGGATACTATCCTAACCATCTTTGAATGCATCGGACAGGATGCGGGTATCAAAAGAAGAGCTACCACGTACAGATGCCATTACTCTCTTGCTCCCAATCTTCGTCACCAAATCGTGATCCTCTTTGAACGGGCATAGTTCGTCTGCTATCATCAAGTCATGAAAACGCGTCTCATCCATCTTGTGGTTCGTCGCCCTTGCATATGTTCTGTCCAGAGTCTTCCGACCCGTGATCCTCACACCTGTGCCATGATGCTTTGCAATCCAATGTCCGCATGCTCTTTCACCTCTGCGGTTTTGACCATAGCCCCCATCTTCTGTGTAGCCGGAACACTGAGAGCGACAATGTCAGCTGTGTGCGTCTCGACTGCTTGCTCTGTAATAGCGACCCCCTCGATTTTGATGTTCTCGTTCTCATCGGTTGTGAAAGAGGATGCTGAGAAATCAGAATCGGTGCCGTTGCTGTTTCCTGCTGATCCATCGTCGATCGCTGTGGTATTTGCAGCGACATCTTCGAATCCACCTGCATACGTCCCGTTTCTAAGTTCATTGCGCTCTTTTTCTTTTCTAACGCGGCGCAAGGCACCGAGATCGAATTCGCCGACGGTTGGAGAACTGGTGTTGTCACGAACTGTACCGGTTCGCGGGAGTGGAAGGGTAATGTTGGATCCTTCAGAGCTGGGTTCCCGGCCTGGCCGGAAGATGCCCTGAACTGCTGACTTGAGACCTTGGGGTGTAAGGAGGCTGGGTGCACGAGAAAGAGAACGGGCTATGTCGATGGAAGAACGGCGTCCCATTCTGTAAAATCTACGACGAGGGCGGCGCTGTGCAGAGATCTCATCTATGTCGGTTTGCGTGGTCTTGAATGTGATTTCACTGGAATCGGTAGTGTTGGATGACGCTGTGTGCGGAATGCCTGTAGACGTAGCAAAGGAATCTGAAGTGGGCAGCGTCGAGGGGGTGGTGTTTAGGGTCATGGAGGACTGAACCCTGGTGCCAATGGTACGCATAATCTGTGCAGATTTGACCGGGAGTTCTTCTACATCATCTTCTGTCAAGGGCGAGAAGTCCCCATTGACAACTGCTTGAAACGCGATGTACAGACGTTCTCGATAGTACGGGCGGCAGCTATGACAGGCTCTGAGAGCGCATGCTCGAGAATTCTTCGTGTCATTAGCATCGCCTAGTGGGGGCCTGCTGCTTTCACTATTCGGAGGATACTCACTGAATCTGTGACGGGCAGGCTACTGAAAGTTCCATCGATGCTGTACGTCGCTCCCGCCAGAGCCGTAAGCCTAGCCACGACATCACTGGCTTCGGTAGCCTGACGCGTGTCCGATATGACCTGCTTCAGCTCTAGCTTGAGTTCCTTGAGCTTCTTCAGTTGCGTGGCCGTGTAGTGGCCGCTCTCCGCATTACGAATGATGCTCTCGCTCAACCCAATCCTCTCCAGCTCCTGTCGCAGTGCCGACTTGACCGGCTCGATTCTTCCATGCTCTTTTGATAGTATGGTGCGAAGCGTTGTGATTTTATGATCCTGTCTGCATTCGTAGAGGAACCCGATGGAAGGTGAGCGCCCACAAATGCTGCAGTGCTGATCGTGGCCGAAGACGCTATCCATATCTAGGTGGGTACAGTTTGGAACTCGCATGCGTTTCCCCATGGCGGCGTGGTGTTTGGTATTTCCAGCAGGCCCAAGGGTACTGGGATCGACTGTTGCTAGGACAGGGCGAGCACGCGACAAAGAATCTAGAAGGAGGAAGAGAGCGAAAGGTGTAAGAGTGTAAGGGCGTGGTGCAGGGTTGATGTTGCTGTTCTGAGACAACGACAATGACGGCACCTAGGTAGGCAAGTGCACACACGCTTAGCCTGTGAGAGCAAGTGAAGGCGTGGAAGGAACAACGTAGAAACTCGAGGCAGTGGCAAGACGAGTACTCTAGTGAGTTTCGGTATGTCTCCAACAAACGAGAGATTCACGAGTAGAGGCGAGGGGAAAGAGAAGTCGGACCCAATTAAGACCTCGAGGAGGGTCAGTCTACAAAAAGGGTCTGTCACCTGTCGGGCAATGCGGATTCTGGCAGCTTTGCACGTTGCGAGTTTGGTCTGGCCGCGTGATTAAAAAATTACCAGTACTCGAGGCCTTCTGACGGTCTCTGCACATGTCTCGACTGTTTGTTGTTGTCTTGGGATACAAACGACGAAATGAACAAGAACGCTTTGACGACGCTTTGGAACAAGACAAAGGAAAAACAGACAGAATGAGGAAATGACATGCGAGGCAATTTCAAGCCGACGTAAACAGCAAGATGGAAGTGTACCATGTATAGGGGGACGATTGCGTGTAGTTGCATGTGGTGAGGAAGTTGAAGTAGTACACACAAATGTGTCCAACTCCATCCTGTGACACGTCAAGCTGTCGCAGTGAGCAGACGAATGATTATCATAATATCAGTACCATTGAGAGATTGTTTGATGTCTCGTTGAAGCGGTGCATAGTCAATGCAAGTCCATACGTATCGGAGAGGCTGAGGATGTAGTCGGCGTGAGACGATGTCAAGATCACCAGGCGATAAGAGGTCGATGGAAGTGACTTCAGGATCGCGCTTGCCAGAGTAAGGATACCCTGCCATGACGACGCTATCAACCTTGTGCATGACTGTACTCGCCATCGCCCACGAGAATCACAATCTTGGTTGGGGAAAGAGCCGGTAATGGGCCGTGTGAGCGCTGGAGCGAGTCTCAAGGTGGCTCGGTGCAAGCAACCACAGGCGGCGAGTCCCGACGCGCTCTTATCCGCTGGCAAAAAGCATCAGGGCGAACAGGTACGCAGTTTCCAATGCAGCTCAGGTGTCTCGCATAGCACCACCGTACGCAAAGAGTCTGTAGAGACAGCAGGCTGGACAGCAAGAGGTTTAATCATCCAACCGAGGTCGTTGTTGTTGTCAGATCACGACACCTGCTTCCGCGTCTTGTCGGCGCTAAAGCTTGGACCCGAGGTGTTTACCTCCCCAGCCATCCGTCGCCGTCCAGCTCGTCGACACCCGCACTCCCCCACAAACATCTCGTCGACTGCAGCATCATCTTCTACACGCGCCCATCTGCCGTTTGCTGCTGTCGCATCGCATTGAGGCGCCATGTCGGTCAAATTCGAGAAGGAGACGACGACCAAGACGACAGCCGCTGTTGCCGACGCTCTGGAAGGAAAGGATGGAGTGATGCACAATCTCGGGCAGGCTCTGACCAAAGGCGGCGGTCCCAATGGATACCTCGCTGTGAGTGTGGTGCGATTCAAACATGTGATGAGCCAATTCACTGACTGTGGGCGCGTCAGGCATACCTCAAGCAGCTGCAGAGCAACCCGTTGCGCACCAAGATGCTAACTTCGGGTACTCTGTCTGGTCTCCAAGAGTTCCTGGCCTCGTGGATCGCCCACGACAGGAGCAAGTCGGGTCATTACTTCACCTCGCGTGTCCCCAAGATGGCTATCTACGGTGCCTTGATCAGCGCGCCCCTTGGACACGTCTTGATTAGCGCCCTCCAGAAGGTCTTCCAGGGGCGCAAGAGCTTGAAGGCAAAGATCTTGCAGATTCTCTTCAGCAACTTGCTTGTAAGTCCAAGCGCGGTTGGCCGTTATACGTCAGCGCGTCGCTAACGAATGCAGATCTCGCCCATCCAGAACAGTGTGTACCTCGTCTCCATGGCCCTCATCGCAGGCGCTCGTACCTTCCACCAAGTCAAGGCGACGGTCAAGGCTGGTTTCTGGCCTGTCATGAAGGTCAGCTGGATCGTCTCGCCCATCTCTTTGGCATTCGCTCAGCAGTTCCTGCCTGAGACCACCTGGGTGCCCTTCTTCAACATTGTCGGTTTCATCATCGGCACATACATCAACGCGCATACCAAGAAGAAGAGGTTAGCTGCTCTCAGGCGAAAGCACTACGGTGACGGCAGCGGCAGGAGTCAGGGTCCGGGTTCGCGCCCTAGTTCGCGCCCTGGCTCGCGTCCCGGCTCCGTCAGTGGAAGGCCTGTCGACGAGTATGGCCGTCCCGACGACCGCCCACGCTACTAAATGACAGGCCTGGTAATGACAGCGCGATTGTCCGGAGTCCTGTTCGCTGTTATATACCGATCGACCGTAGGAACCCCAACGGTCAGAATGAGGCATCACCCGTCTTTGCTCATGTGTTACGACAAACTCGGGGAACGAGATTCGGCTACCAGTCAGGCGCTTCACCATCTAGTGCGCTTTCATGTTCGGTCCCCTTTACGTGCTTTGTATATCCCATCTGTTTTTCTGTTAAATCACTGGAACCGCGACTGGCGTTCGTTGCGGTTACCACCAAATATACACTATTACTTCCACCTACTATTCGACCGCTCCCACCTGTATTATGTCGCCATCACGTCTAACCCATACAAAAACACGTCTCCGTTGGTACTGACATTCGTTAGGCTGAGCGAAGAGGCGGCGTTGGAAGCCGTCCGCCTATCAGAACCTCAACTTCTGTCCCAGCATTCGCGCTGTGCAGCCATGTATTACATTCGCCTACCTAGTACCACGCGAAGTTGACCCTACGGACGTGGTACAGAGTCGTTGTGCCAAAGAAGGACTCTGAAGTGTTTAGTGTTGATCTAATGTTGCCCCAATAGGATTATGCCGATGAACCGCGGGCCCATGCTCGCGGATTGTCCACGACAAACAATACGTGATAGCGCATGTGTTACGCTAGGGTCGGTGATCATTCGTGCTGAATACAAAGACTCCGAATGAAGATGCTGTGAACGACTATGCCACGCCACATACCAGCTGCGGTGCTCCCGCCTTACTCAACTATAAGAGAAGGACGGATTCAACCTGGCGCAGAGGTCCACTAACTCATGACGCTTTTGACGCTCTGTCAAGACCATCAGCCATACACGTAACCCATTCTGGTCAATCATGACTCTCGATTCTGCTGATCAACTTGCGTTGTTACCATACGGTGATCGCCTCTTCGGTGGAGCAGGGCTTGCTCGATCCAGATCTTACCCCTCTGATTCAGAGCCAGATCTTTACGTCCCCTTCGAGTCTTATGACTACCGGCGTCCGCTATCGAGCGTTGCTGTGCGACTTCAGGATCCCTTCCTGAGGTGCGAGAGAGATCTTGGATGGAACATCGACTGGGCAGTTGCTTTCGTCGTTGACCGACTGGAACAGAGCTGGGCTGATACAGCTGATCAATTCAAGAGCATCAGGATACGGGCTGCAAGTCTCGAGAGAGACGGACTAATCCAGGAGATCCCATATCGTATCTTCAACAAGCTGGACGAAGTATTCTTTGCCGGCCATTTGAAGAACGCTGTCTTTCTCGATATCGGAAGCCTGGGCTCTGATGTCTCGGGAGCTACCTACGCCCACAGACTGGGACCGAATCCTGATGTCAAGCGCATCTCAATCGTCCTAAACGTTGACGCGCTCGAGTACGCCGACGCGAAAGACACTATTGCGATTCTGATTCACCACATGATACACGCATACTTCCTCGTTGCTTGTGGTGGACAGAAAGAAGATGAGGTGGACTACGGACGGTTGAATCACGACGTGCATTTCGGAAAGATTATGCTCACTGTCAAGAAGCTCTCAGCTGTACACGGTAGAGAGTTGTCGCCACTGAACTATGGGCACAGCTTGTTCAACGTCCGCTACGTCGAGGATGAGTATCACAGTCCACGAAGAAAAGAAGCAATTGAGCGTGAAGATCGAGAGCAGTGGAATTGCAGTCACTGCCATAGCGATATGCAGGGGCCGTCCGAAAGCGAAGTGCATAAGTGGTACGGGAAGGTTTGCAAGCCTTTGTTCAACCAACCTAAGTGTGCGCGAGAGCTAGGAGTTCAGACATATAACGATCGGTGCCACGAGCTCGAGACCAGACGCCGCGCACGTCTCAGACCGACTGCTAAGTCGGTCGAGTTCGTGTTCAAAGACAGGCCTGTCCTCGTCGATGCAGACAAGTTGGAAGGCTTTCTAAGTGTTGCACGAGCTTTTGACAGAGTAGGTAGCCGCTTTCTCACGATACACAAGGAGGTATCGGAGGACACTTTCGTCCGCTTATTGGAGTTTCTTCATACCGGCTCCTACCGTCCTGACCCACGCCCATTCACCGCTGCTGCTGCCGGGTTAGGTATCGCGCGTCGAGGGTCACCGATCATCAAACCTCAATCAGCCACTACTGACGCTTGTGTCCTTGTCGATGTGCAATTTGCCAAGCTTGGCACATTGATGGGCTTCGACGACTGCAAGAGCTATGCGTTGGATAGGATGAACGCCTATGGCATACTCAACGAAGATCCTGTCGCCATCCTTAAAGAGATCTACCAGGGGTATGAGCCTGATTCGGACCTCAAGGATTGGGCACGCAAGTTCCTCGTCAGAGCACCAAGTACTTCAAATCCAGAGTGCTGCACTACAGCGATTAGTGTCACCACCGTAGAGCCACCGAATCTTATCAAGCTCGAGAGTGAACAGAGCTCGCACCGCGCACGCTTTCTCGGCGCCGTTGACGCAAGTGGAGCATTAGAGAACGATGTCAACAAAGCTCGTGCTGAGCTCAAAGCTGCTGGTTGGTACAACTGGTCATCACTTCTGCCTCATGACGCGCCTAGGCTCCTCACCAACCGTTCTACGAGCTACCTGAATCATCCACTGGCACTTGGTTATCGCTCGTCTACTTCAGTCCCCTGGTCCAGCGTCCACGACCTCACAGACCAACTTTCCTCGCTGGATATCGAGCGCCTGCGTAACTTGGAGCGTGAGAAAGCTCGCGACCGTGAACGAGAAGAGAAGTTGAGAGATTATGAGCGAGCCAAGTACAGTGACATCGAGCGTGATCAACTTAGGAAGTTGCGTCGAGAGAAGGAGCGCGAGCTGGAGAGGGAGAAAGAGAAGCTGGGGAGGTTGGAAATGGAAAAAGAGAAGGTTAAAGAGACGCATGCGCAGTTGCAGGCTAGCGCTGCGATTGAAGCGCTTTTTGGGCGACGTGGGCATGGGTTTGTAGAGGACTATAGGTATGAGTAGACTGATGATAGACGCTTGTCGGAGGAAGGCTAGGGTGTTGATGTTAATGTGATGTACTACAATGCCGATTGAGTTTTAGCATATCCTTCTGAGACCGCGAACATTGCATCTACGACATGTCCACATATTTGGTCTATCCATTTTGTTCTCATCAAGCACTCGTTTTTGCTCGACTGAAGTTTGCTGTCAAGTTCCGACTAACTGCGCCTTCTCCAAAGCCAGCGATGAGACCTGGACCAGATTATTCGTACAACTGATATCTATTGCCTTTAGTCCTATGATATACATAACCCTGCTGCCTATGCTCATGTATACTATCGATCGTTGAATAGACCCCTCGCTCACTACTGCCTCCCCCACCGCTATGAGCTCGTATCGAATTGGATCATCTGGATCGCCAGAGATTGCAGTGAGAAGTCAAATACTCTTTCTGGTGTAATCTAGCTGCCTGTAGCTCAAGGGCGCCATACTACTCCATGATCTCTTGTGCGAGAGTGCCGTGGAATAGTACTTAACCTGCAGTTTCGTTGCTGATCATCGCTTCGCGATGGAAACTCAAGTTCGATAGGGCTGTCGACTTCAGAGGACGTACATATCGGAGAGACAGGATATCTGTGAGATGAGAGTGGACACACTGGTAGGTTGGGCTAACAACTCGCTGGTTGGTTTTCCTGAAGAAGGTGTCGTCACACAACACATCCTGGGCGGTGGCTGAGCTTTCAGGCCTGTCAGATGCATGCTCGTGCTTGACTCCACGGGTTATCGGCAATTGGGAGCGTATAGAGAGAATGCGGGTAGAATAAGACAGCATACGCATGTAAATGGCTTGCGACTGTATCGCACGCCAGGAAAGAAGCCGTTACTGGCATTAAACACGGAAGTGCCCCGCAACCCCGCACAGCATCCACGTATGTATATACCGAGACTGATCGCGAATAACGCACATTGGTCTTGTCTTAGAACAATCGATGTATAAGTCTTTCGTGTATAATTGTTAGCATCAATCGATCCACTTCAAAAGCACTCAAACCTCACTATACACTTTTCAAACACCATGGCCACCAGTCAAGAGATCAACAATGCGCGTTTCAGTAAGGAGGCTCTGGAATGGGATTCAAACCAGAAGCATGTGGAATCGACTTCGAAAGCACTTGAAGCCATCAAGCGCTACGTACCTGCGTTCAAAGATGGTCGTAACAAAGGTATAAACAGCCCATCTACCACTAGTCGAGGACTAACAAGCACCACAGAACTCGACGTGCTAGAAATCGGTTGCGGCACTGGCCTGCTATCCTTTATGCTAGCTCCGCACGTACGCAGCCTTATCGGCGTCGACACAGCAGACGGCATGATAAGTGCCTTCAACACTAAGCTGGCGGATCTTCCAACAGATCACCCGAACCTGTGTTCAATAAACCACTTCCTAACGAACCCAGACTCGCATGAATTGCAAAGCGCAGCAGCACTCCTTGCCACGCATCGAGGGGAAGCCACATCACCGCCCTACTCGTACCGATTTGATCTCGTGGTTTCTCATTTGACCCTGCATCACATTCCTTCGATGGCGGAGATTCTAGAGACGATGAAGAAATGTTTGAAGCCAGGGGGTGTTGTTGCGTTGACAGATTATGAAGACTTTGGGCCGGAAGCTGTGCCATTTCACCCGGTGAGTAAGAGGCCAGGAGTCGAGAGACACGGAATCAAGAAGAGCGAGATGGAGGATTTGTTATTAGGGACAGGGTTCAATGAGATTAGGGTCGACGAAGCCTTCGTTCTGCGAAAAGAAGTTGATGCTGAGGACGGGAAGCCTGTAAGAGAGATGGATTTCCCGTTTTTGCTGTGTTTCGGCGTAAAGAGCTGAAATACTCGGTCGTATGTAGACGTTCACGAATAGTGTTCTGTGGCGTCTGCGAATGATTCGGAGTAGCGGCAATCAATAATCTTTTAGCAGATCGTTCACTGCTTTCGCAGCGAAACGTTTTCGCTCGGCCTCTTCCATGCCCTCGCCCATCTCCTTGATAGCAACCATTTTCTGCATCATCACCTCCAGCTCTTCAACCTCTTTGTCCCCTGATTCCTGACCTTCATCGTCGTCAAACCCAGCCAGCGCACCTTTCATGCCAAACAGCTCCATGTTCATCTCCGCCTCTTCTGCTGCAAAACTGCCTTCGAAGCCGTCTTCGTCGCCGCCCATGTCCAGATCTGCCATGCTCTCCCATTCCCCAGCCTCGAGCGCTTCCCGAACTCGGTGTACCCCTGTCGCCTCCCCAAACTCGTTTTTCCCCTTCTTCTCAGAGTCGACGTATTCAAAACCATAGTCCATGGCGAGCTCTTCCCATTCTTCATGACTCTTCTCAAGGTAGGGCGTGATGGATTGCGGCATCGCAACAGCCAGACACACCATGTCGCCGCCGTAGCCACATGCACGCTCGATGACATCGGATACGGCCTGCATGGTCTCTTTGATCATATCTAGATCCTTTGTTTCGACTGGCTTCTTGAAGCAGTATATCCATGCACCGAGCGCGGTGACGACTTCGCGAGCTTCGGGCTTGGTGAATTCGGTGCGCCATTCCGCGACGTTGGCGAGCTCATCGATCCAAATAGGAAGGGTTGCAGTGTAGTATTTGGTTTCTAGACGCCATTCGTGCGTAAGGCCGGCAGTGGTTTCGGACGTTGGTTCGGGGGCGGAACCGGTGAGCTCTAGGCAGAGTCAGTGAATGCGCGCCATGTGGGAAAACAAGAGTTACCTTTCAGCAGTGGAAGTACACCTGCCTCGGGCGCGCCGATGGCAAGAATACGCCGTGGGTTCTTGATGTCCATGTTGTGTCGGTGGAAAAAGTGTCTAGTTGCGGAGTTCTCGGGGGTCTCGCCATTCAACGTGGGGTAGATGCCTGCGAATATCAAGAACGTTCGCGACTACGCCTGGCTGTATTGTGGTCCTTCGTATGCCGCCGAGCAAGTTTAGATAACACAAGGTATCTTCGACAATGTAAAAAATTGTGCATTCATCCCATTCAAAGGTATCATCAATTTTGGAGCTATCCCAGTTCTCAGCGTATGTCCAGCAAAATGCGATCTGGTTGCATACCTGTCCTTGCCTCCATTGTCTATTTCCCGCAGCCGAGGGCGCGCGTCCTCGCTGGTGTCGCGCTTCTCGTAACTTGCTCTCTGCTTATGTCGTCTTTCCGCTGCCATTTCTCAACTCGTTCAACGACCACCGCCGCCACGAGTGCTAGCCCTTGCCCTGTTGACTGTTGCCCGACCACGCGCAAGACCGACACCGCGACCCCTTGTGCCTCTCGATCGGAACATGGGGGCGTTCCTATATTCTGTTAGCGCCTTTCTTGTTCGACGGGTATAACGCATCATACCTCAACATGTCGGGAACAATGAAGTACCGCACGTGGCTTCCCCTGATGTACACTTGTTCGAGATGTGAGACGCGACCGTCGCGAGCGGTGACAGTGATGTCCTTCAGCTGTACGTTCATGTTGTCCTCGGCTACTGTCTGTTAGCACGAATGCAAGGGGCTGGGAGACGAGTACAGTGCGTACCTTCGATTAGCTTGCCACGGTAGACTTCACCCGATGTGATCTCAAGCGTGACAATGTGACCCTGCGTTCTATTAGCGCAGGTTTAGAGACCAGTATCCAGCGGTGAACGTACTGCTGCCTCGTTGAGGAGCTTGATAGGGATACCGATAGTGCTCGTCATTTTTTCTGTGTAGACTCTGAACCAATATGTCGAGTATGTCTAGCTCGGTCTCGCGGTGGGACGTTCGTGTAGGTTGCGAGAAATAGGGCTTCGTGCCGTAGGCGCAAATCGCACTCGTTGCGCGGATCTGCTCCAAAGAGTTATTTGCCTGTGTTCGTTACGTAGTGGTTGTCGACAACAACAGAAAAGAGCGCAAAGTTGGGCGTCGTGGTTGCGAAGCGCGTGCGCGATGCTAATATCACTGTCTACAGAAAGTTGAGGTTGAGCTCGGACCAAATCTTAGTCATCATGCCCTGTCTCCCATACTATACTCAATGTTCCCTTACCTTTGATCACCAGAATCACGACCAACATCTAGGCGTCACTGAACCCTTCTCACAATAGCATTTGTTAACTTCTATACGAAAGTGTGCATGGATGTTGCTCATGCCACACGTTGCGTTCATCTCAATGTACATCACTGCGATATTATGTTATGTCAGCGAAACCCATGAGCATTTCCGATGTGAGAAGATTGTGGTTTATAAATCCACTTGAAGCACATGCAGGTAACAGCCAAAGTCTACGGATGCTCGGTCTCTGTTGTTGGCGTGTCGCAAAGTTCGGAATAAGATCGGAATCATCGGAAAGAACATCTTTCGAAAAGCGTCGCGCCACAAACGCGTCACCACTCAATCCCGCCCCTGCAACCACGTCGACTAACATTCCCAATGAATATCTCGGGTACCCTAAACGTCTTCCGACTACTGAGAGATCCAACTCTGTGCCTGCCTCAACATACTGTCTCAACATTTAATCATCTCCCAATTCCTTTGTCCAAAGCTTTCAGAAAAGATGGGGTTGCTGGGCAGAAAGAGGTAGACATTCAAGCTGTAGTACTTGACAAAGACAACTGCTTTGCTGTGCCACATACCGATGAGATTCACAAACCATATGAAGTACTGATACACGTATCACCTCGCTCAGAACTTCGTTGACCACCTTCATAGGACCATTTCCAGCGCCTTCGACGCGCTTATCCGGGTACGAAACTTCTAATAGTCTCCAACACGGCTGGAACGTCTTCAGATAAGGACTATGCTCAAGCTGCTGTCTTGGAGGCCAATACCGGGGTCAAAGTTTTGCGACACTCCACCAAGAAGCCTGGCTGTGAGGAAGAGGTCATGGCTTACTTCAGGGCACATCCAGACTCTGGCGTAACTAGGCCGGACCAAATCGCTATTGTAGGTGATCGCTTGTCCACGGACATCATGATGGCAAACATGATGGGTGGATATGGATTGTGGATCAGAGATGGAGTGCAGGGACGGGGATTTGTAAGTGCTTCCGCTCGGAGAGAACATCGTGGAGAGTGGCTTCACAGAATCGCATGTGAAACATTTGAGGCTAACGAAATCACAGTTTGCGAGAGTTGAAGACAGGCTACAGAACTTCCTCTTCCGAAGAGGTTATGCTGCGCCTGATCCTAGCCGAAATCAATTTGAGTAGTACATCAAATGGATTGGTCGACCTTAAGCTGAAGACATTGGTATCTGCTTCTTTGGCAGACAATCCACTCTGGACGGCAAGTCACTGTCTCGTCTGCTACAAGTTGTACTGAAACCATGTTTGTTCTGTATCTCTACGAGATAGTCATTTTAACCTAATGACATGTCCAAAACTTCGATCTACTTCTAATCCATGACACGCATACATTTTCAGAGCTTTGCTGTAATGTGGAAGCCCAAGGTACGATTGGCGGGCTCTGCCCCTCTAAGTGACGCGCTTTATAACAACAACCACTAAACGATGTTGTAAGGAGCATCCTTTAATAGGCTTCGTCAACCGTTAACTATTGGATGCATAGCCGATCGTAAAGATGCAAGACTACGGTTAATGTCAACATCCCTGTACGCTCGGCTTCGAGATAATTCTATAATCGCAGACCTTCCATCCCTAGATCTCTCTGTCAACGCCAAAACTCAACGTAGGCAACTAGACAATCCAAATTCGAGACCATCTATCACAATGTCTACCTCGCTCCAACAGGCTTGCCACATGGGGTTGTGGCTGCTTGCCACTAATTCGCCTCCATCAAGCTGCGCCGCATAGTAGCATAAACGACATTACACATACTGCCTCCCCCTCCCTTCCAAAGTTTAGCCTGCAGGTAATATGATCTGATAGATGGCTGTGACGTGGCTAGCAATCAATATACCTGGGCGACCTACATGAAAGGATATGTTCAAAGAGGATCAAATTACTATGAAAACAGCTCTTCTTCACCTTCAATAGCTCTACTCCATACTCACTCACCGTCCGAGCACATAACGACTCTTTCATCAATCCGAAGTACCTGACACAAGCTACTTGCTCCTATCAGTCCTCATCAAGTATGTAACAGTACTGAAATGTTTCCTTTAGTCCAAACTGAGATATACAAATACATCTACTCACCTCTCCGATCGCTGACTTCCACTCGTTGTATACAGTCAACACCATGGTCATCTACTCCACGATTCTCGGCGCAATCATCGGCTCCGGCGTCCTCGCAGTACCAGTACTTGGCGCACCAGCAGCCCTCGCGCCAGCATCTGTCCCAGCGGCAGCTGGCGCAAGACTCGGCGGTATAGACATGAACCGGGCCTGCCGCGACCAGTATGGCATGGGTTACCCCGCTGGCACGATTGGAAGTTCATGCAACGACTGGCAGTGCATATTATATAACACGAATTTTGGTGATTTATACTATCCTGTCGATACTCCTGCAGCATGTAAGAGGCAGTATGGCAACAATGTGTATGCTTATTGCCAAGGCGGATGGGACAAGTGGTCTTGCTATAGGACATAGACGGACATGAGATCAACATCCAATTTGAGAAGCAAAGCCCTCCTATCGTGCTTGATTGATATATCGCTTTCGAGTTGATACTTTCACGTATTACTGCTCCATGAAACATATTTAGTAAGGACTTTGGGAGTTTGCAAGGCCTGCCGGATATCTCAGGACGTGCGTCCTAACACCACGTTGGGCATCGATGTTTAGCGAGCGTTCTTGCTCTTCTCTACTTCGTTTTTTTTTCTGCATGTCCATTGAGTTTATCGAATTCAAAGGACGCAACCGTAAGTAAAAGTCTTCCACGATATGCAGTCCGATAGTTGAGAACTACGTGCCACAATGGGATGCTAGTGGGTCAACATCTAGGCCATTCATTTGAACTTGTTCAAGCAGATACATGAAACCGACTATCGCGAAGTCAAGCGCGAGGATGTCCGCTACTGGACTAATAGATGCTGCCTAGGTGATATAAAGGATAAGTGATTTCTTGACGAGACGATAGATTAGGGTATCGAAAATCATGTTCGTACGTGAAGTGAATTTTGTATGCAGAAGTGCGTAATCAAATATAAATGGATTAGGACAGGCCATATTGGATATCTGGATCTAATCATCACAACGGTCAGCACATATCTCTGACCACGTCTCTCCCTCTGCCTCCACGATCTCGCGATCCTCTCCCAACCAGGAGGTGTATACTGCTATCGCATGAAGCACATATGCCTCAGGATTTGGGGCGTCCTTAGGTCGTATGTTGTCTTCGAACCAGGCTATCCTAAACGTGTGCAATTTAGTTCTTTTCTTCAAAATGAATAGAGCATACCCAGGTACTCACTCTACTTCTTGCAAACCCTCACGAAGATCTAGCGCCTTGTTTGTAGCCGGGTCTGTTTCGTCACAATGCCATTGCTTCGTAACACGCCAGATGGCTTCAACCTTGATGTTACAGGATTATCCCGCATGCCAGTCTTCTAGAGTGTATGCAAGCATTGTGAGGTATCTTATGCGGTGGTATCTAGAGATAGCGTATTCGGCGAGTAATTCGCGCAATGCCTCAACACAATCATCGAATTCTTCTTGTTCATGGAGCTTGATGTGGGGGTGTGTGAGAGACCGTTTCGGAGGCTTGCGAAGTGTTGGGTAGCGTAGCGATCCACGGATACCGGAATCTCTAGCTGCACGTGACAAACAAATGCGCAATGGATTCTTCAGTGTGTATGTCATTCCGTGACAATCGACATTGTATTTATGGTGGGCCAGTCAGACGGTTAGCATACGTCACAAGGCGATCCTCACCCAATAGACAAATCTAACGCGTTTGCTCACTTGTGCGGCATGAAACATCTAGATGTATCGCATGCATCCAACAGCATTTGCACATCACTACGATAGCAATCATGCTTTTACTGTTATATAATGAGGCATGTTTCCTTGATTTATCAAGTTTAATCGTTATACGTGAGGTCTCTTCGTCCACTGAATTCTCCTTCACCTCAGTCCTGTCTCATTTCCGACCATTGGGCGTTCTCAATTTGGGCGTCGACATTGCCGCCTGCTAACCCTTTGCTACCTTTACTACTGCTAGTTTTGTATAATGACGCAATGTATATATATGTGCCTGATTGCAGTCCAGTGTTTGGAAGGAACACCGCGCCAAGCAAACTTACCTAGGTAGTCACTGCAAACATCCGCGGATTACACCAACTCTGCTAATAGAACTCTCCGCTCCGAACATCGACTCTGTCTCTCTGCGTATACCAGCAGCAAGTTGACTGTTTCAGAGCGCGATCACCAACAATATGCCACCGAAGGCGGTTTAGACTCCGGCTCCGTCGACGGACACTGGCGACAAAAATCCAGGCCGGCCTGCTAACAAAGCAAAGCAAAAACCCACCTCCAAGGATGAGAAAGGACTACGAGCCAAGAGGTTGAAGAGTGCCGTCCAGCCCATTCAACCTTTGTCATCTGATCTGACCAATCGCGCTTTGGGACCATCATCGCATCTTGATCTGAGCAATCTTGGTATCATAATCGACCAGACAACGGAAAACACCTCCCTTTTCGTGGACGTGTTCAAGAACAAAGGTTTGAAGCTTGAGGATACTGCGCGCAAATCCCCATACGTTCTACCTACGATTTGTAAGTGCATCAGGACATCGAAAGGCCACACCAGGGACTCGCAAATGGAATAACAAATGCTGACAACATTACAGTTCACGTACAAGGCAGTAACGCCTTGTCTAGAATCAAGAAATTCCCAGGTTCTTCGTCTTCCTATCACCACAACTCAGCTTGGTCAATCAAACAAGTTGCCTACCTGGGATTATCACTTGTGTTACTCAAGTAGCTTGGTATATCTTGTTGAGAGAGATGATGTCGATATCTAGGCCTACAGTAGGCAGATTGTACGACTCAAGCCATCACGCGCATGGATTGACTAGTCGACTGCGGGCGTGGTAAGAATGCACATGCGATTCTTACTGTTATCTGGCTCGATTGTGGCGCAGTAGAATCGTTGACCGGCAATTCACATACCTTGAAGATACTTGGTCAGTACCTATATGGTTGCCTGGTTGTGCCCCGCTCGTTCGTGGCGCTATACCCTGCAAACGCAGAACGCATTACCGGTTTTGCGACGACACGCTGAACACAGCCACGAGCGTTTCCACAATTCATAACAAACACGCGGTACGCAAATGAATCATAGCTAGGTGGCTTGGACCAATGGGGACGCGATAAGGTCATCAGGCGGTGCAGCGGGGCTGGGCTGAGCTTCACAGCTTACTTGTCATCTTTCGGGAGCTCCTTGTTCCAACGAACAGCGCAAGGCATACATTAAACCCATCTGACCGGCCCTTTCTCTACACTCCAACTCTATCTCAAGAATCAGCCTTGTCCGTTTTCTTGAATAATCGATCTACTACTACAACCTCCACACACAAACAGTAAGATGGGTGTACGTTGCGGCCAGCTCCTTGGCTGCCCCTCCATGCCCCGCTGCGTCATAATTGGGCTGACATGTCTGAAATAGCTCGCATCGAAAATGCAAGCGATGAACGCTGCTTCTGGTGGCTACGTAAGTTTCCAAGTGGAATGTCGATGCTGGTGATGATTCACTAATGCAACGTAGCCTGGCCAGCCACAGTATCAAGCATATCCAGGTGCCCAAGGTGCCGGTGCTCCCGAGGTAAGCCCAAAAAGCTCCTTCTTTCTCTTGTCACTTGCTCTGCGTCGTCATCGCCCATTCCCTACCCGCCACCTAAGACTAGGCATTCGCAAACCTTTTACCTAGTCTCCACTCTGTTTTTGGCTCCCAACTGCAATAAACCCCGCGCCCGCCTGGAACAAATCCACTCTGGACTTGACGCGCCACACTTTGCTCCTGGACCTAGCCACACATGCCTCTATCAAGCAAAATGGCCTCTAGCTACAGCGCCTATCAGCCCAACGCCGGGCAGGCGCCAAATCCTTATGCGCAGCAGCAACAGCCTGCACCTCCTATGCCCCCGCGTCCTGGTTCGTACGCGCCGCCACAGTCACCATTTGCGCAACCAACAGCTCCAAATTCCTATGGCACATCTTCACCGTATCCTCAAGGACAGTCGGGGTATAGCAGGCCTCCTCCGCCACCACCAGGACAACAGCCTCAATCTCCATATCCCCAGGCGCAGTCTCCGTATCCTCAATCACCATTTCCCCAGTCGCCACAGTCAAATCAGGCGCCTCCAGCGCAGTGGAATCAACCCCAGGTTCCACCGCCCTATGGACAACCACCTCCTCAACAGTACCAGCAGCAAAACCAATGGGGCCAACCACAACAACCCACTTACGGACAGCCGCCGCAGCAGTATAGCCAACCTTACGGCCAACAGCCCCCTTATCAGCCAAATGTTCGTACTAATCTAGACTTTCTCGATTTTTTGTCTCCACCCTTGAATTTTCAATACGTACGAGCAGAGACGCAGAGCTAGTGATATTTGTTCAAAGTTATATACATACTAACATAATGTCAGGGTGGTCCTCCAGGACAGCCTCCGCAGGGCCAGTATGGCGCACCTCCACCACAGGGAGGCTATGGCGGCCCCCCTCCTCCTCAACAGGTTCAAGCTGGGCCAGCTGAAGTTGCAGGCTACAAACAGTTGCTGCAAGCTTGTATCCAAGAAAAGGGTCTTCAGAACTTCCCAATCTGCCAGAACCTCGACCGGATCGCCCAAGATGCACCCTCAAAGATCAACCAAGTCATCCAGCGCTGGCGTATCCAAAAGGAGATCGCCAATGACATTGTCAAGCTGGCACTATACGACATCGTTCTATACATCGGTAGGTCGCAAAGAACTAAGCTGCTGATCAAGCTGACACCTTCCAGACGACAGTGGTTCCATGCAGTTTGAAGAGGAAGGCAGCCGTATCAAAGACTTGCGCCTTATTCTGGAACGAGTCTCCTTTGCTGCTACGCTCTTTGACAACGACGGAATCTCAGTCCGGTGCATGAACACCGACCTCTCTAATGCTCGTAACCAACAGGGTCGACCTCTCCAAGATGGCGTCGCCACTGAGGCTCAGATCGAAGAGATCATGCGTGGTGTGAACTTCAAGGGCCTCACGCCCATGGGCAGCTCTATGGAGACAAAGGTCATCAATGAGATAGTACTCCAAAAGGCACGATCCGGACAGATGCAGAAGCCAGTACTCGTCATCGCTATAACTGATGGACAACCGGCAGGTGAACAGCCGAACAAAATCTTTGATGTCATCAAAGGAACATACAGACAACTCCAGTCAACGCCCTATGGCCGTGGCGCTGTCGCCTTTGAGTTCGCCCAGGTTGGAAATGATACGACTGCCAGGGCATTCCTCGGTAAACTCGATGAGGACCCTGAGGTTGGCCCTATGGTTGACTGCACATCCAGTAAGTTTCCCTATTTACGGATCGAATTCGTGCTAACACGAATTTAGACTTTGAAAACGAACAGGAAGAGATGATGCGTGCCAACCCACCTGTCGATCTCACACCGGATCTTTGGATCATCAAGCTTCTTCTTGGTGCTATTGACCGAAGCTACGATTCCAAGGACGAGAAGACCAACCCAGCGCCCGGAGGCTACGGTGCACCACCTGGTCAATATGGCGCGCCTCCGCAAGGCTACGGTCAGCAGCCACCGCAAGGCTATGGCCAACAGCCACCACAGGGTTACGGTGCTCCACCTGGTCAGCAACCCCCTCAAGGCTATGGTGCTCCTCCACAAGGCTACGGCCAACAGCCACCCCCACCAGGTCAGTACGGTCAGCAACGACCGCCTCAAGGTGGTCCCGGCGGATATCCAGGTCAACAACAGTACGGCCAACCGCCGCCAGGTGGCAGGTACTAGGAGTGGATCCATGTATCAAAATCCGACGGTCTGGATTCTGAGTCAGATGAGGGCACGGTATGGGATTTGAATAATCCTCAAGATCTGGGAATCATTGCTAGTATTGAACGGCCTCATGCCATCATGCCATTACGATTTTCCTTCATCGGCGAGAGTTGAGCAAGCTTCATAACTTTTCGGTAAGGAAGGTCTCAATGAAAGTCTAATGATTTCTCTTCATTCTTTTACGTGGATACAAGTATCACGTCTCATCGCGCGTGATCTGTCACATGTCAGCAATTTTTTGACGTTGATCGCTAGTGGTGTGATGCGGCCTCTGCCAGTTAATCATGACTCTTACAGCGCTAGTATGTAACTGACAGAGGAGGAGTGTCAGATATCAAAGTCGCATCCGCATAGCACTCGCGATACTTCACCTTCCATTCAGTATCGCGACCATTCACGGAGTGCAGGTCGTATAAAATGCCGTGGCGCGGAGTTCCTACAGATTAACACCAACGCACATTTATCAGGTTTGAACAAACTCACACAGACCCAAAGACCATATCTCTTCTATACATCATACACCAAAGACACTGATATGCCTCTGCCAACTAGTATTGCAAAGCTCCATGGCGCCACCTTGATAGCTCCAACTTATCATATCGTCGTCAAAGTCACAGATCCTTCCTCTTATAGCTTTTACTTCACACACATCCGTGCCATCGACAATGCTACGGAAGTACCTCTTGCTCGCGTACACCGTTCCATTAGCACCGCAATAAACGACTGGAAATACGAAAACCTGCAATGGAACTCCACCGACCCCAATCGCGGTCTCTGTGTGCGGTTCAGAATAAATGCGAAGAAGAGAGAGAAAGGGGATGGGAAGGAAAAGAGAAGGCGCGTGATATACAGAATCTAGCGCAGCAAAACGGTGAGAGGATGCCGGACAAGCGGGAGGCGCTAGCTATGGCTTGTATGATGAAAGTAGCAAGGAGGGCCGTTGGTAAGTCGATATTCTACCAGTCCCGGTGACTTGCCCGTATTCTGATGAGTGTTTAGGCCGCGTGCTCCATGAAAAGGACTTTGGGGCAATGGGTCAGAAGGAGTTCGTGATCATTAGTACTGAGAGCGAAGGGACAGTTCAAGCGAGCCTGTCCGTGGACAGCAAAGAGGAACAGAGGGTTGTTGCGAGAGTCAGTGGCAACGATCATTTCGAGGCTGTCTATGCGCTCGATAATGCAGTAGGTGTTGAGCATAAGAAGCAGCGGAGAGAGGAGCAGCATCGGCATATATCATGATGCTGCTAACAGGCTCAAGACCAGAATCAGATGGCGTACTCTTCCTGTTAACGAAAAAAAAAAAGCTTGGTCTTGTCCTGGATGTGGTGCCCACATCCGCCCACCCTCCACTGTGACAGTATGTAGGTACATAGATAGAGAACAAACCCCGCTAACGACATCGGAAGAATTCTATCAACGACTCCACACCCGCACAAAATGCCCGTGTGACAAGTGCGACTTGGTATTTATACCGTTTGGACTCCATTCGCTGCCCTCTCAGCGTTTAAATTGGTCGCTAACGGCACTTCACCTGAACTTTCCGGGGAAAATAGATTGGTTAGGCGCACGAAAACCAGGCTCGCCTCCGTCGCGAAGCACGCCGCTGCACGCCACAACCACACTCTGGGGTAGGTACAATATCGCGATAATATCAGCTTGTGCGCCTGTGATCGGATTCTGAGCGATGGAAGATCTTGGAAGTCATATGGTGGATGTCGTGTGTGGATGGAAAGCAACACAAGCTATGTCTCGCCTTGGTGACCATGCCCATTGCTGCTACAAGGCCGTAGGCAAGGGGCTCGTGGTCATTTAAAGACACTATACGATGCTTGACTTACCAGATGTAGTCGGTCATTGCGCTCCGTTCCTTATCGAGGAGAACATGAGAAGTCAGTAACACCATCTCAAACTGTGGAAGACATATAAGAGAAGATTCGAACACAGCATATCTCCATCAAAGCAACGACACTCGCTATCTGAAGCTTCACAGATCTTCTCTCTTACAGTCTCTATCATGTACACCTCCGCGCTCTTTCTCGGCGCTCTTGCCGTCTTCCTCGACACCGCATCCGCCCATGGCTTCGTCAAGGGTGTCAACGTGAAGGGAACCTTTACCAACGGCTCTGACCCAGTTTGGTACTACTATGCCAAGGATGCTCGTCCTCAAACTGCAGGCTGGGATGCCCTGAACCAAGACATCGGTTTCGTCGAGCCGAACTCCGTCGGCACTGCAGACGTGAATTGCCACAAGAGCGCCACAGCTGGACGTCTCTATGCCAATGTCAATGCCGGTGACACTATCGAATTTGAATGGAGCACTTGGCCCGACAGCCACAAGGGCCCGATCATCAACTACATTGCACCTTGCAACGGTGATTGCACCACTTTGACACCAGGTGCTCTTCGCTGGTCAAAGATTTCTCAGTCGGCTATCATCAGCCCCGGAACCTGGGTCACAGATAAGCTCATTACGGACAAGTTCAAGGTCTCTACTGTTCTTCCAGCCAAACTTGCACCTGGCAACTATGTCATCCGCCACGAGATCATTGCACTCCACGGCGGTCAGAACGTTAATGGCGCGCAACTGTACCCTCAGTGTAAGTTTTTCCACTGCTCAGCACTTAGAAGATGCTCATGATCGATCTAGGCTTGAACCTCAAGGTTGGAGGTAGCGGTTCCGTTAAGCCGTCTGCTGGTGTTCCAGGTACTAGCTTGTACACAAAAGACATGCCTGGCATTGTGTTCAACATATACACCAACCCCACCACTTACACCTTCCCTGGTCCGGCTCTGTGGACTGCCGCTAACTAAGTCATGGTGTCCAAACACTGTGTTGGAAACAAACAGGATTGGAGAGCTCTGAGACGCGGATTGGTGATGTTCATGGTAGACGATGTGTGCTGACTTCTCTTCGTGTTTATACTTGGTCCTCTTGGTAGTTACGTAGACCTAACAATCGTTTCTATAGTCTAACCTTTACCCATGCTGGCTGTCCTGTACACGGGAAAGTTCTTGTTTTTTTAGTTGTACCTAACGCTGAAAAAATGTCCCAGAGGCATATATATCATTTATCAATATGTGAGTGTCTCAACAAAGTTACACAAACGCCCTGGGTGCGGTTTGAAGTTGGGGACAACTTAGAAAATATCAAGAGCTTTCACGTACAAGAACTGTGCTCCCTTCAATCGAATTCTTATTGCTACAAAGATGAGCGATTGTTAGGGCGATGAGATGATGTTTGGGATGTGGTCCTGACAGATAATTGTGCAAGACCAGCAGCCTCTACAGGCATCTGTCTTTACGGTGCCTACAGAGTCGAGATCAGTCAAGAAGTGGCCTGAACGGATGAACAGAGTCTTGAAGTTTTGTAGAGGTATATTGCAAGCCTAGCATAGTCCCTAGAACTAAAGCAATAACAGTAGGAGGACTAGTTAGCCAACCATTGGGGTGAAAAACGCCAGACTCCTCATTCCCGTTTTGAACAATACACTCGATACATGATCGAACAGCTTCTCGCCCAAACTCGCCGCATGCGCATTGCTCTCTTTACTTCCTGACCGTCTTGGCGGCCTTGCCAACAACCTTGACGAGCTCACCGTACGCCTCGGTGAACTCCTCGTCGCCCTCGCCTGCCTTCTTACCCATCCTCTCCTTGCCAATCATGACCACGCTGGTGGGCCTCTTTGTTGCGCTAGCCTCACCAAGCTGCGCGCGGCTCTTGATGTAGATGTACGGTACGTTGTGGTCTTCGCAAAGAACGGGGATATGCGCAATGACGTCCATGGGCGAGATATCGGCAGCGATAACGACAATGGCGCTGGGGTCGCTGGAAGTACCTGCGCTTGAGGCGGCGGATTTGCGCAGCGCCTTTACGACTTCCTTTACACCACGACGGAGGGTCTTGGATTTGGCGGCTGTAGTGGAAGAAATGTTAGTTTTTCCTGGTTGCGCCAGATGGCAGGAAGACAAAATAGGAAGAACATACACTTCTTGACAGTCTTGAGGATCTTCTTGACCTCCTTGTCATTGTCTGCAAGAGGGAATGCAAAGGGAACGAGTGCGCCGCGCGGCTCATCGCTGCCGTCAACGACGTTGACCATGGAGACTTCTGGCTCTTTCTCAAGCTCGGCCTCGAGCGCGTCTACCATCTCGACATCGCCCTTGACCTTCTTCTCCTTCTTGTCCTTCTTGCTCTTGGACACGCCATCGGTCTCCGCGCGCTTTTCCTTCTTTTCCTTCTTGTCCTTCTTCTCCTTCTTCAGCCTCTTCTCCTCGATATCTTTCGACATTGTGTAGTTAAGCGACTGTAGTTTATCGGTAGGAGTTAGAAATGTGGATGTGTGGTGGTGGCTGGTAATGCGTCGTGCTGTGGTCGGGCTGGTCGCGGAGCTCTATTCGCGAAATTTTGGAAAAGTTCAGACTGAAGCTCAACGCGCTAGTGCTGCAGTGTGGCACGGACCATCCATCAATTTTAGTGCCTTCGCAACCATGGCACAGCACAGCGGAGCACATGCAGACATCACAGACAGATTGCATTCCAAGTCGTCTAAGTGAGATGTATTCATGTAGTACTGATTGAGATCAAATTGCATTTTCACTTCATGTCTACTACCGGAATATCCGCCATCTCCGTCGCCGCGAAGTCAACCCATGAAATACTGTGGTATATATAGAGAAAGAACCTGATGCCACCAGAAACAAAAGGCATTACCGAAGTGGAGGCAGACAACAAACAGGTATTAGCAGAAACGCGTCAAAGGCAACGCTAGTAGCAGGACCGAAGTAAAGTAGTAACGCGCCTAGGGCCAGCCTTCGATAGTCCAGAAATGCCGATGGGTATGAGCGAGGGAAAGATATTAGAAGAATACCAAACGAGGAGAGCATGAGCTCGAGTGTGTAGGATCTGGACCAGACCGCCCTGTGCGCCGAATTACCCCAATCTTGAAAAGTGAAATGAGATAGGAATAGACTGATGCTGAATGCGCCAAACTCCTTGCCATGCTCCCAGGTGCGAGGAGACGACGACGACAGGCTGAAGAAAAGCCCACATTCTGTGAAAAGAAAAGAGAGATCGAAACAAGATCGCGAAAGACCAAGGGCAGCGCAAGCGATAGCTCGCGCTTAATAGGCCATTTGCATCTCAAGGACCTGGACGCCGCCAGCAGCCATCGATGGCGTAGCAGACCCGGATCGAGACGACATGGCATCTTCGTAGCCAACAAGGGCTTGTGAATGTAGTTTGAAGGCCTCGCCCATGAGTTTAGTGATACTGTGTTTTGTTAGTGACAAGTCCGAAACATAGATACTAGTTTACATACCCCCAAACAACGACCTCATCGATCATGCTTCCCCAGAGTCGCGCCACTGTGGAGCTCAGCTTTGCACCGTAGACATCTACCGAGTCGTCATCGAATAGGTTGCGCAATTTGTTGTACATTGCTAGCTCCTCTTCGGTAGCTGGCTCTTCGTCGTGCTCAAGGCGGTAAAGCCACAGCGTTAGGATGACCATCAGATCCATACCAGTAAGTGGATGCTCGATGCTCCAGTTGGTAGCAGAAGTCCGTGCGACCCAACGGATGCCTTGCACAGCAGCAACCTCGATACAGTCGAAGCATTCTTGAATGACCTTGATCATTTCCGGAGAGCGCTGAACCTTGTCGCGGGCATTCGTCATAGCAGCAGCTACTTCGTACGAGTCGTGGTAGCGGAGGGCTTCCTGAATGGACTTGAGGTCGACCACTAGTCGGGCTCTGGTGTTCCTGTACAATGCCATGGCGTTAAAGATGAGTGGGTGACCCTTGTGTGGAGCGCTCAGTTGAACAACGACCGTCTCCGGCTCGCATAATTCGAGCGATTTCTCCCAAGTCTCCAGGGCCAGACGCAGCTTGTACTCGGTGACTACGTCCTGAAGAGCTTCAGGGCTGCGCTTGTGGTACCATACTTCGAGGAATAGTGCATTGATCATGACGCGTGTGGCGAAGGCACTGTAGCGCGCAGTCTCGCCTTGGAATAGATTGTCATGTGCTTGACGGAACGTGATAATCTTGGAAGCACTCAGGCTTTCGCGCCATGCTTCATCGTCAGATACCTCCATGGTCCAGAGCGACTCCGAAGAGGGCAGCTCTAGGGTGTCGAACTCGTTGAAACCCATTGCTGGCGTGTGGTTGTAGGTGAGAGTTAGCAGACCAAAGAAAATGTAGACTGCATAGTAAGTTCTGCGGCATTGCTCATCGACGACCCATTCTTCATGGTTTGGTTGAGCACCATCACGGGCGTCGGAGCGAAGCTTGAGTTCATATCGGTTTCCTGCAACCATCTGCGGTTTGTTAGTGGCTGTGATGAGCAGGGCAGGTAAAAACGTACGTTGGCGAGCAGACTCTTGATTGAACAAGCCCACTCGAGTCCTTTTGGATCACCACTCCAGCTGCTGAAGATCATGTTAAGCAGGGTACTCTGCATAGTCCACAAAGGACATTTGCGGGAGCTGAAGTTCTCCTTGTTCTGAAGGAATTGGTTGACTAGGACCTTTGATCCAATGTGCAGCATGTAGGCCTGATCCTGATCAAAGATGTACAAGGCACCTATCGATAGCACGGCAAGTAGCAGCGGGGCAGACACCTCAGTCGGGTTGAAGGTGGCGGGATGCAAGAACGGCAGATGGTGATGGAACAGATCAAAGTACGTCTTCAACAGGCGGTTCAGCGTGTTCAGACTAGGCAGGTGGAACGTCTCCAAGAGCGCGTTTTCACTGTCATACTGCTTGATGTTCTCATATATCCTTGCGCACTGCTCCTCCGAGTCTAGCTGAGGGGCGCGGGTCATCATCAGAGCCTGGTTGGGGCCGGGCGACTTGCGGTAGTCAACGGGCGACACAGGTCCCATCATGGAGGGATAGGGCGAGAGAGCACCGGGGGTGCCCAGCCCGTTGCCGCCGTTCATTGCTGAAAAAGTAGGGGCGAGACTATCACTACCAGACATGGTGCGCTCCATTAGTGGTGGCAACTGATGAGGGTGCGAGCCGAGTGCGCTGGCGCTGTTGAAGGCTGAGTGCGTGTTCGGCGAGGACTTGGGCTCTGACTGGGGAACCATTGAGTCTCGCCACGGCATCTGAGGCAGCATGTTCTGGCCTGGAGCGGTGTATGGGATGACAGGCTCCATCATGGATGGACCTGTGGGCGATATGACGGGCTCGTTGTGCTCGGGAATCATCTCGGGTTCCTGACTCGCCATTGCTTTGTGATGGAAGTCGGTCATCAGCATGGCAGCGGCGTTGAGGTCTTCGTCCTCGTGCATCGCATCGTTGTCAGCCTCGATGCGCTCGAGCGTCGTCGCACTCTCGACGGGCGCGGCTTTTGAAGGCCCTTGGTCGGCCGCCTTGGTGTTTGTTCGTCGCTTCTGTTCGCTGGGGAGGGGCGCCCCGCCATCCTTTGCGTGGACGGTGCGGTCGTGGCGCAGGAGGAGATCACGACGGACAAACGTGGATCTGCATTTTAAGCACCTGATGCGAAGTCAGTACATTTCTCGCCATTTAGCTCGTACAAGGGCGTCTGCTTACTTGAAGGGTCTCTCTTTGGTATCTGTGGTGAGGGGCAAGTTAGCGATCTTCTTTCTCTTGTCTTCCCCGCAGCGCGCATCCACGTCGCGCATGTCCCGCATCAACAAACAGCCACCCCGCCCAAAACAAGCGCATCTCGATCGCGAATACAGAGAATGAAATAGGGTAATACGAACGCGATCTTTCGTGTCTCGAACGATGCTCTGACCTCGAGAAGGCTCTGTTGCAGAACTGGCATTTGTACTTTTCCGAAGTCAGTGCATGTCTCACACGCATTTCGGACAGGCACAGCTTACCTTCTTCTCGGGCGCGCCCGTCTTGCGGACGGCGGGCGACGAGTTGGACGCCATCTCAATGGATGCGGCGTATGGTATGGAATCGTAGCGGTGTATGGCCGATGATGGGAGATGCTGCGCAATGGCCAGAGGACGCGTCTCGTCAAAGTTCGTTGATGGGTGTGGTGGAACAGCTGTACTCCTCGTTCATCCCGTAAAATTGCTATAAACAATGGTGCAGCACCGGAATGGCCGGTGGGAAAAGGTGATATACAGGCGTCAGCGCCGTCTGGCAGCGTGCGCAATGATGGAATGATAATCGACGTGGGCGTTGAGACGGATTGCGAGTGTTGAATGAGGGGGGTCCAAGGTCCAAAATCAACTCGGGGGGGCATGGCGCACGGGCAGCCCAGCTGCCAGCCTCACCATCCCCTGCCCAGGTGGTCTTGGACTCATTACAACGCTAGCGCTTCTAACGCGACCTATCTATTAATTACCAAGTCTGCTTTTGCTGGCTGGCTCGCTGGCTGTCCTGTCTGCAGTTGCCATATTAGAAGAGGCAGGCGACATGTTGGGTCAGTCGCCCTTTGCTCCGCTTGACACTGCGACTTCCACAACTATCTCACTTTGTCTATGTAGCTATCAAACCAACGAAACTTGCACTCTGGAAACGCCCTCGCATACAGGCACCTCTTTTACAACCCGGGACATCCCTAACCACAGGCTTCTGGACCAATGTGCAACATGGCGACCGCCTGTCCAATGGTTCTCCTCGCAAGAGCCTCAACGAGCATGGTCTCTCCATCCACCCGCCGTCAGCGGAGTCGACTCTCCATCCACCAGTGACAATGTGGCACGACAGTTCAAACCTCAAAGTGGCGGTAAGTACCTCATGCTTTTACTCTTGGAGGAGTAGTCTAGTAACTGGGGCACCATTTATCAGATGCAGGCCATGCACATGGTGGCTCACCGCCTCACTTCCCTACGCAGGTAGCTACGCCTGCGCCATCGTTACTTACAACAGCTTCCAATACTCACAAAACACCCACACATCGCCCCTCCGTGGTCTGTGTCGCGCGATGACGAAGGGCGCGGGAAAAGGGGTTGCCCCTCGTCTTCACACACACACACCATGACGCCAGGATGCCTCTCCAACTTCCACCATCAAATGTTGTGGCACGAGTAATTGCGAGACGATCGTCGGCTGCGCTCGTTCCTGGAACTCTATCCAGAAATTCGGGCCAGAAACGCGGTTCCCCGGACCCACCATCTCATGTTAGTCCGGCCCACATATGCAGTAGACGCGACGGCTTGCAGAGGGCTCACATGAACATTGCAACGCCGCGAACACGATGCTTCTTGCGCATGTCGGTAGACATCACATTACCACCGAGCCGTCTGGCCGAGGTCTTTTCGGCTTGAAAAGGACACCTGCGTTCCGAGTGACAGAGCCTCCCGTCAGCAGCAAGGTGGCAGAGTCCGCTAAAAACATGCCCCGCTTGTCTACCTTGAATCGGGGATGCGCGTATGATCCTAGAGCTTATAGCGTTGGCCGCGGCCTAGCAAACGCTCTTGCTGCCATGACACCTAATTGTTCTCACCGTTACTCCATCCAAGCCAGCAGTCGCTACACATGCCTCCTACAAGTCCTCTAACGGCCCCTCAGTGACCATTGTGTCAGCGAGGGGCATTGCTTTTCAATGAAACCCCCCCCCCCCCCCCCGCGCTAGCACGTTTCTCGTAATGCTTTAGAAGCAAGGCGGGTTGTGGTGGTGGTTTCAAGTGGCATTGGATGGTCTGTCCTCGTAACACGGACGCGGCAGGGCCGGTACTCATCCGTCTACGCCGTCAGTTAATTTCACTATGATAGAGGCAACCAACTAGCTCATCCCAGTGAAGACGAATGGTGGTTGAAAGCTGACCAGGGCAGTGTAATGACATGGTGTCATGCCCAACACCGTCCACAGCCAAATCGCATATGAAAGGTACGCCTTTTCGGCCCTGCATTACAGCCAACCTACTATTGAGGATGATGATATCTGAACGGGTAGTTGCTGTAACCCCCACATGCGACACGGCACCTATCGCATCCAGCTCTCCGTTTGACATGTCTCCTACAACGACGCTTCGTCGCTTCTCAACAATACTGTCGTCTCGGGGGCAGCAAAAGATCTTGATCAATCGATGGCTGACCCACCCACCCTCCGGCCCAGTGTCGCAGAACCCAGGAAATGCCATTTCCGCTTCCACGCGATAAACCAAGCAAGTTTGAGACTGGCATCGGCCACTAGGATCCGCTATAATCATCCCGAGCTTCCATCACACCTTCCACGGTGAGATACGCGTGTCAGTCACCGCTCTCAATGAGATGGGCAAGACGACCGCGGACTGTTACTTGAGTGCTATAGGCATGCTTTTGTACTATCACAGTGTTCTGCTGTCGGCCTCAACCATTTACTGATATCCTCGACACCTGCAGTTGTTTAAGGGTCAGCACCAAATCCAAGTGAAAATCATCGGTTGCACTGCGGGGCAGCAAGCACTTAGGTAGCGTTCCGTGCAAACGCAAAGTGTAGGGACGACAAACGCAGAACGTCAGAAGTTCAAGTCTGGATGGTGGTACAAGATACATGGTCGCACAATCCTCGATGCGCCGGCATCCGCCCGCAACGGGAGGGAAGTCCTGGTTATCCTTGAGGACCACGTTTCATAGCGCAAAGACCCCAAAATATGTAACGAGTCAGACGGTGTTCTAGATGAGCTGACAGCTTATGGAAAGCCTGATGTCCCCGCTCTACCACCAGGCTCTTCGGCATCAAAAGCTCCTGCATACCACATCGAGAGCTTGGTGGGGCCGTATTATCAATTGCAGATGTATACCATGCATGGTCGGTGTAGACAGCTTCTTTGATTTTGACAGCTGCGGCGTAGACAAAGTTGATGTGGCCGGCTCAGTGTCGGTCGCTTACCCACCGTCTGGCTATATTGCGATGCACAACATCGGCTGCAGGCAGGCAGGGCATATAGACGTGCATGAGTTGCAATGTGTAGGCAGGCTGGCGGGTTCCGAGAATTGCCCTATTGAAGGACGGGCCCGGAACTTGACACATTGTTAGCTGCTTTTATCCATAGGTAGGTAGCCCAGCCAGACACGTGATTTCCTAGGTATCGCACAGCACAAGCCAGTGGGGACGCTGGGCCCTCCACCGCTCACGACGGCTGCTAACGACCCGCCCTGGTGTTGCAGTTTCTTTCGCTCGAAACCGTTCTTCTTCTCAACCATATTCATACCAGCGTGCTCGCTGTGAGGCTCTATTCGCTGCGTCGCTCAGCTAGGCGCGCTCCCCATTCGCATGCCGGCCGCCTCTAGCCCAATTGCATGCCCTCATCCACCCCGGCCATAACACGCGGTCATATCAGATCCTCGAAAACGACCGCGTCGTAAGATCAGTCGGCCCACATTGCGACCGCTTCTACTCTAGTCCAGGGTCGCAGCAGAGGGGTCGCGCCTGCGAGGCTGAAGATTGTTGCCTTCTTCCCCGTCCCCCCCACACGCCGCCGGTTGCGCCTTGAGGCACCGTGAGAATCACCACCATGAACGGCTTTAATGGCACGACCGACGCTGGCGGCATGTACGTCAAGGCGCTATACGACTACCAGGCCGACGACCGCACCAGTCTGAGCTTCCGGACGGGCGACATAATACAGGTCATCACCCAGCTCGAGAGCGGCTGGTGGGACGGAGTCATCCACGGGGTGCGCGGCTGGTTCCCGAGCAACTACTGCGCCGTTGTACAGCGCCCCAGCGAGGACATTGAGAGCGACAGAGACGGCATCGATGCCGACGACGACCATGAGACGAGGTCGGCAGGCGGCGCTGAATTCGACACCTCAGACGGCGAGTCCCTGAGCGGTGGAAACGACACCATACTGCCCCTCGAGCGCAACAATGCACCGCACAACAAGGAAGAGGAAGCCGCCTTCTGGATACCCCAGGCGACACCAGACGGCATGCTCTTCTACTTCAACACCCTAACCGGCGTCAGCACAATGGAGCTTCCTTTGGAATCGCCCTCTGCCAACGAGAGCGGTCCGCGCAACCGTACTGATGTCTTCGTGCCCGATGCGTCGCGACCGCCAGCTGAGCTACTAGCATCGGGCTCTGGCTACAACATGGAGGACACAGATGACGAAACGTCAGCGTCCGACTTGGAAGGCCCAGGAAAGAAGGGCTCCTACCGCTCGCGCGTAAGTTTTGCGCTCCTATACGTGGAGCGAATACTGACATGGCACCACAGCACAGGCACCGCTTGTCCGATGGTCTCTCGTCGGCCACCTCGATGGAGTCGATGAACGGTGGCTACCAGGGCAGGTCCTACGATCAAAGTGGTATGAGCTTTGCAGCTTCTGCTGCCATGCCTCCCACTGGCACCACGGCGACTTCCTTCGCAAACAGCCCAGCCCTAGGTAGCGCCTCGACGCATTCGCGCAAGTTCTACGACGACGTCAGCCCTGTTCCTCTTACCTGGAACAGGATGGTGGAGGACATGCGACGCGCAATAGAGCGCTACAAGCAAGCCATCAACAACAGCGACAGGTCGGAATTCGTGAAGCGCGCCGAGGACATTTCGGATCACTTGCGGCTGCTGCTCGCGGCTGGCTCGGGGACGACGGACAACCACTCTGGTAACCCCTCCATCATATCTACAAACAAGGCCTTGTATCCTCATTTCCGCGAAACAATGTCGCGATTCTCAAAACTAGTGCTGTCTTCGCATATCGCTGCGTCTGACTTCCCTCCTCCCGATTCCTACTCCAAGTGCCTG